ATTTTAATGTAGCATGCTGCAGGAATCCTGCCGCGGCTAACTCTGAAGTGTGAAAACAGATCAGTAATTCACTAAATTAATACAACATGTGAAGCCAGCCAGTCTTTTATTTAGAATCCTTTCCTCTATTACAGCTTCCATTCCCACCCCACCCATCCACCCCCTCAAGGAGAACTAGGCTGCCAGGAGCCATCCATCTGGAAGCATTCAGTTCCTTAATTAAGAGTAGTTTCACCCTCACCTGGCAGTTATCAAAGTGCAGGTACCCATATATATTTACATGTTATTTTCCCTTTTTATCTGTGACTTTAAAATATTGTTATTATACTGTCTCTTCACAACAATGTGAAGTCACAGCTGCCAGTTCTTTAGCTGCTGTTGGCCTTCATAGCCATCAAGTTCTTTCCAAGAACCTAGGATGTGATAATGTATCAGCGTATTATCTATGTGGATCCAAGCAGTGTGACTTTGTGTAATTGGGATTTTGTGGTTTTGTCAATGCACAGATTTTCTAAGTGCTGTCCAAGATATGGCACCTAGAGCAGGGGTCCCCCACCCGGTCCGCAGCATGCCAGACACCGGTCTGCATAAACCAGCAAGGCCCCCTCCACGGGATGCAGGCAGGACGTGAAATCAGGCCCCCTCCGGTCCACAGAAAAACCTCTCTCCATGGAACCAGTCCCTGGTGCTCAAAAGGTTGGGGGCCTCTGACCTAGAGTGCTAATAATCACTTGGACCGTCATGGCTGGATTGTGCCATAATTTTCAGCTTTCAATGCTTTGTGATGTTCAGTTCTTCTATTCTGCAATCCCCTAGTATTGCCACATCAATTGTCCACACTTACTTCTTTTCAATCACACTTAAATCTAGCGTGTTATGTAAGCCATCGACAGGTTTTACAGTATGGTTGTCCACTTTCCCCTCTAACTTTGGTAGAAATTGACTGTGTAATGTTTTTCTTCCAGATGTGTTGAGATTGCACCCAGAGCACTTTAGCTTCTCCATTTTCCAGTCATGTTTTTATTACTTCAATATTCATGTTTTGTTTCCTGTACAATCAATAAGTTCCAATTTTTAACATGCATCAATGCGTGTTCTTGGCTCTTTTACATAAACAGGCAATGCCTGCTTTTCATTCTTTGACAGTTTGTTTGATTTGAAGTAAACCTCTGCCTCAATTTCTGCAGGGCAGGTATTAATCTATCAATATGACTGCAGGGATGTAATGCATAGTGAATAGTCACCAGCTTTCCTGTTTTTTGTCTCAACCTGTCCAGCTCAGCTTGTGTCCAGTTAATAACTCCAGCAATGTATCGTATTGCAGGTCTGGCTCAGATATTGTTAACTTTGATGGTGCTTCCACCATCAATTTTGTCTTTAGCACTTTTCTCACTCTTTGGAGATGTATTCTTTACTAAACTTGTCCATATTTGATGTTATCCCACGTAAAATGCCCAGATACTTGTAGGCTTCATTCTGTTGGACATTCAGCATTTCAGTTCATTCATCCAATTTATAGCTACTGTAGCACATTTCTTAAAACAAATTCCATTGCTACCTCTGTGCTAAAATTCTTGCAGTGTTATTATATTATAATTATATAATATTTTATTATAACAGTTTGTCACACAGTCAGCCAATGTTTAGACTGGATTTGTCATTTTTATGAACCTGTCAAGTCCTTTCCAAGGTCCTGGAATAGGCAGATGTTGTTTGATGATGTAATGTCACAGGATATAAGCAGTTCTTAGTAAAGTTATAAGCTGCCTTTTGCAATTGACTGATGGTGATTTTTTTTCAGTGCCAATGCTGTTCAAGGGGCTCTCCAGATGTTTGGGGATTGCACCCAAGACCAGAGCACTTTAGCTTCTTCATTTTCTATTACTTTGCCTATTTGTTGGTCCCGCTAGTTCTTGCTGGCAAGCAAATGGTATTTCTTGCAGATCTTCCAATGCTTCACTGTTGCCATGCTGTTGTTTGTGAGATCTTCTTGTAGCAGCTAACAAAGTAGACCACCGATCCTTCAGCTTCTTTGCAGAAGCAACATTTGCTGTTTATTGCTGTCGTCTCAGTTCTGGCTTTGTATGCATTTGTTCATAAGGCTTGGCCTTGTGCAACTGGAATTAGTCTCTCTGTCTCTTTCTTCAACTTTCCTGCTCATTGCCAGTTCTTGCCTTTGCCTGCTTTTTTTTAATGCACTGGCTGTGCAATACTTTGCCTTGCCATGCCCCTTTCCGGCTCTTCGTTTGCTCTTTCTTATAGGCCAGTTTGGTCTCTCCAGTACTCAGTGACCCTTCATGGCATAGTAGCTTCACTGCATCTTCTTCACGGTCCTTCAGAGATTCTGTTATTAATATCATCATCATCATCATCTGTTCACAATACTATGAAGTCACAGCTGCCACTTCGGCTGCTGTTGGTCTTCATATGCATCAAGCTCTCCCCAATAACTTAGGATGTCGTAACATGTCAATGTAGTATATTATTAATATAGTGGACAAGTAGTCCTCAACAACCATTCGACTGTTTGAAATGACACTGAAAAACGTGAGTTATGACTGTTGCAGCATCCTCAGGGTCACATGATTACAATTTAGATACTTGGTAACCGACTCATATTTATGACCGTTGCTGTGTCTTGACTTAACAACCGCTGTGATTCACTTAACAACTCTGGCAAGAAAGGTTGTAAAAATGGGGCAAAATTCATTTAACAACTGTCTTGCTTAGCAACAGAAATTTTGGGCTCAATTGTAGCCGTAAGTCAAGAACTACTGGTATTGGCTTAGTATATTATGATAGCCTGCCCCTTTAATATACTTTCTTCAACTCCTGCTCCTATTTTTCTCCCAACAACGACTCTGTGAGACAGTGAGTGACCCAAAGTCACCCAGCCGGCTTTCATGCCTAAGAAAGAAGGCCTGGAGCTCACTTCCTCCTGGTTTCCAGGCCAGCACCTTCATCACTACACCAAAATGGCTCTCACCAAATTGCCAGTAAATCCACAAAGAATCCTATGGTATTTTAAAGTTCTAAATAAAAATGTGAGCATGTAATCAGGTATGGAACACAGCTCACCCTGCGCATGGTACATAGAACTGAGGAGGAGGGAGTATTATGTAGCCACATAGCTGGGGGATGAAAGGGAGAAGACTGAAAGGATAGGTAAAAGAATAGTTACATTTGGGTGTACAGGTAGTCCTAAACCAGGGGTGTCAAACCTCCGGCCCACAGGCAGGATGCGTCATGCCAAAACCGCGCCCACCCCATTGCCGGCAGTGGGGGAAAAGTCGCGACACGTCACGTGATGTTGAGAGTTTGACACCCCTGTCCTAGACTAACGATTGCTCATTTAACGACGTGCCTTTATCCTGTCCTGTTTGCTCTCTGACTAGATCGAGCGACGTCTTGACAACGTGAGGTCTGTTTGCCACAATTCCTGTAAGCGGCTCGTGATGTGTTTGCAAGGACAGTATGGAACCGAGGCTGAAAAGAGACACGTGAGTAGCCCCTGCCTGTAATTTTCCCCTCTCAAGCCCCTTGCTGTGCGTCCGTGTTTCCTCTCTTCCCCCAAGATGGCAGGATCGTCCTTGGCGTTCTTTTTTTATTTACTTCTTTGTATTGCTCTAACATGCAAGAAAGGAGAGGCAATCACAAAATACTAAGCCAAAAATAAAGGACAGAGAAAGAAACCCCTGCGAAGAAAGTCTCCACCATTTCTCAGTTGCTTTGCAAGGGCTCAGATCCCAGCTTCATGCGAGGTGACCCAACACAACCTCTCCTCCCCAGAGCTGCTTCCTTCTCACCAGAAAGCGGTTCTGGTCCCTCATTTCAGATGCCCCTTTTCAGATTCACAGAGCAGCGTCGAGAGCCCATCAGGCCTGCTTTCATTTGCAGGGCAACCCAAGGCTTCACCATGAGAGATCTGCAGAGTGTGTCCTGTACATGCCCCACGTTGACTGTCATACCTATCTTCCTCGAGCTGACGTGTCTCAAAGTCTCTGTCCGACCATCAGACCTGAGCTTGCTTTCCTCCTTCCTGCGATTGTCCCCTGATTTTTCCCTCAGGCTGAATGGTTGTACGCATGAGCTGGCAGGTGCCGTGTTTCCTCCAGGCTGTTAGGAGGCTTGGGATATTACCTTGCTACGAACTGCCTTTCTTTTCCTTTGCAGAAGAAGCTTCCCCTCACGGCTTTTGCTCAGAACATGCAGGAAGGTTCCCAGCAGCTCAGCGAGGAAACACTACTGGGGTAAGAACTGAACCTCCTTTCTGGATCTGCCTGTCGTTCTTGCCTTCTTCTCAAATTGAGAGCCAGCCTCACTTTCCCCTTTCTGCCATGTAAGCTCTCACCTCACTAAATACAGTTTCTTTAAAAATTACGAATTGCTGAAGAATGCATCTTACAGTCATGGATTCTTAGAGGAAGAAGCTGTTTCCATGTGGGGTTTAGCAAAATGGCTAGAGCACAGGTCAGCAACCTGCGGCTTCAGAGCCGCATGTGGCTCTCTGAGCCTTCCCCTGCGGCTCCCAGCCTCCTCTGCCATTTGCAGACAGAGACAGAGACAGAGAGAGGCACTTGCGCTTCCCTTCTCTCTCTCTCTCTCTCTCTCTCTCTCTCTCTCTCTCTCTCTCTCTCTCTCTCTCTCTCTCTCTGTGTGTGTGTGTGTGTGTGTGTGTGTGTGTGTGTGTGTGTAAAAAAGAGTGGCCTCACCCTGTTCAATGAGCCGACAAGCTTACTGGGCGGGGCTCCTGCCTTGGCTGCGTCTCAGCAGGAAGCAGGAAGGGCAGGAGAGAGCTAGCTAGCCCAACTATGCTGGCTCAAGAATTCTGGGAGTTGAAGTCCATGAGTCATAAAAGCCGAGGTTGCCTACCCCTGAGCTTGTTGGAGAACAGCTTGAAGCCAGCTTGCCAGGTGAGCAGAAGATCGGAGAGAGGGACAGAGAGGGGGTGGGAGAAAGAGAGAGGGGGGGAGAGGGAGAGAAAGAAAGAAAGAAAGAAAGAAAGAAAGAAAGAAGGAAGGAAGGAAGGAAGGAAGGAAGGAAGGAAGGAAGGAAGGAAGGAAGGAAGGAAGGAAGGAAGGAAGGAAGGAAGGGAGTGGGGGAAGAGGACTGGCAGACCATGAGCAGAGAGGGAGGGAGGGAGAGACATAGAGAGAGACCCTTTTGACATCTAAAATGAAGATAACACTGCATATATCCTTTTTTACCTTTATGATATATATAAAGGTATATATCCTACATTTTTGGATTGCTAACAGAATTAAGGGGGACTGGGATAGCTATTTTGAGCTTATTAGCTCTCATCAGCCAGACATACCCTTCTGAGATTCGAACCTGGGCTGCTTGCACGTTAGACAGCTTTGTTGACCTTAAGCCACAGGCTCTTTCTCACTTTGTCAGCTGTATCAGTCCCCCTTAATTCTTTGTTAGCAATCCAAAAATTTAGGAAATACAAACGATGTCACACTCAAAATGTGTGTGTGTGTGTGTGTATTCAGATTTCTTTTTGCTGACAAGAGTTAAAGATTTAAGTGGGAGACTAGTATAGCTATTTCGGACTCATTTGTCCCATCAGCTAGCCACACACTTTATGGGATTCGAACCAGGGCAGTCTACATGCTTGGCAGTGTATTAACCACCAGGCCACCGGCTCTCCTCCCCTCTTTGTCAGCCGAGTCAAGGGAGTATATATACAGAAAGTTTTTCAGACAGACCGGTCTGATTGATTGCACCTTGGCATTTTGACTGCTATACTGCAGTTCTACTTTTTTATAATCTCTTTTGCCTTGCAGCCCCCCAACTAGGGGCGTTAAGCAGGCTCAAGTCGCAACTGCGATACATTACAAATTCAGATTTCTTTTTTGCTGACAAGAGTTAAAGATTTAAGTGGGAGACTAGTATAGCTATTTCAGACTCATTTGTCCTCATCAGCTAGCCACACCCTTTGAGGCCCTTTAGATGCCCCACCAGAAATTGGACTGGCACTCATTCGCTCAGGGTGTGGGCCGCTGTTAATAAAACACGTTATGTTTTTTGGGGGATTGAAATTATTTCATACTTACTGGTTATTTATCTTCTTATTGGTGGTTGCTTTTATATTTATTGTTTTAATGTTTTCAGTTGTAATTCATGTCTTGGAGCTTCAATCCAGTCGGAATGGCAGCTCAGCAGCCATATGTGAACAACATTAACGCCTGAGAGGACTTCAGCACAGTTTTCTCTTGTCCCTGCATAGGTAGTCCTTGACTTACCTCCACAATTGAGCCCAAAGGTTCTTTCTAAGCAAGACAGATGTTCAATGAAATGTTTTGCCCCATTTTACAGCCTTTCTTGCCACAATTGTTAAAGTGAACCATTGCAGTTGTTAAGGTAGTAACACAGAGGTTAAGTGACTCTGGCTCCCAGATTTGCTTGTCAGAAGTTCACAAAAGGTGACCACGTGACCCTAGGGCAGGGGTAGGCAACCTTGGCTCTTTTATGACTCGTGGACTTCAACTCCCAGAATTCCTGAGCCAGTTATGCTGGCTCAGGAATTCTGGGAGTTGAAGTCCATGAGTCATAACAGAGCCAAGGTTGCCTACCCCTGCCCTAGGACAACTCAATCGTTATAAATGCAAACCATTTGCCAAGCATCCGAATTTTGATCATGTGGCCATGGGGATACTACAACGGTTATAAATGTCAAAAACGGACATAAGTCACTTTTTTCAGTGCCGTAACTTTGAACGGTCACTAAATGAACTGTTGCAAGTCAAGGACTGCCTGTATATGCAGCAGACCATATTTGCACACTTTTGAAACACGGGGGCAGAAACGGCTTAATCTTTTGTACCTCTGCAGCTATTCCCATGTGATGATTCCAGCCAGAGAGAGACAGCTTGGTTAGCACAGTCTGGATGGTCCCTTGAACCATCTCTTAGAATCTTGTTTTTCCACAGGCACCTGTGAGAATAGAGGCTCTCCCATCCATTCACACCTTCCTGAGCCTGTTGAGAAATGGTTGGAGAACTGTAGCAAGCTAATGTGCTTTATTTTGCTGGGGGAATGGCTCCTTCCACTCCTTTGGGCTGTAAGAGCAAATCAGATGAAGCCGGTAATGCTTTTCTTTGCTTGCAGGAAAATGCTGGAGACTTGTGGAGAAGCAGAGAATAAACTTGCAATGGAACTCTCTCACCATGAGATGCAGGTGGAAAAGGATGTTTTGGACCCACTGAATCAACTCACCGAGGTAAGCTGCTAACCTAGGCTTACCTCTTACCAGGAAGAGTAATAAAAGCAGCAACATTCAGCGGGGTTTAGATAAATATAATGGTTGTATAGTTAGTGTCAAATGTCAGTTTCCTGTTGTCTCTGCTTGCAGATGGAAATCCCCAATATTCAGAAACAGAGGAAGCAGCTTGCTAAGCTGGTCCTAGACTGGGATTCTGCAAGAGCTCGGTAAAGTACAACTCTCCTCTTCCTTTTTATGCTCAGGAAGTCTCAGTCCCCCTTCCTTGCAAGCACATCTGCTCCATAGTTGATCTGAGGGGTCCTCAATGCTCTCTGAGCTTGGTCGTTCTTTTGCAGACATTTCATTACCCAAACTAGATAACATCATCACGGCACCTAATTTGGGTAATGAAACATCTGCAAGAAAGCAACCAAGCTCAGAGGACACCAAGGACCCCTCATTTCAACCCTGAGCTACAAATATTCTCCTTTATCAGTATCATAGTTGATTTTCAGGCCACATCCAGCCTTCCAGACATTGCCATCCACTCACCCTTTGGAGGAGAGAGAGTCTGCCTTGTTTCCTCGCTTGGCTCAGCTGCCCAGGGGATTATCAGCTCCCATCCAAAGTCGATGTACTGTAGGCGTGCTTGTGCAGTGAGTAAAAGATGCCAGTGGGATTGATTTGACACAAATATAACCAATGCTGTTCACTAGGACGGCATCAACTCTCCCATAACGTAGTAATCTGGCACATAAGACAGCTTTCTGCTCGAGTAGCCAAGTGGAGAAGAACCCACAGGCCCCCAAATGAATTCCAGTTCCCACAAGGCCTCACCCATCAGCCACACCCTCTCTGTGCCAGAGGGCAATAGAATGGATCCTCTACTTTCAGTTTTGTTGTCATGCTTTGAATAGGAGCCCATGTACACCAGAAGAGTGTGGCTTTCTAGGTCCCATATCTATTTGGCATGCAGTTGGTGTGACATGTTTATTTAGTTGGAGTTACAGACCAGACATCCTCCCTTTACGTTCTGTCTCAAGCATATATTCAGCTCATAAACTCTATTTCTTCACTTCCTGCTTGCCTTTTCATAAGTAGTTTCATTTGAAGATCCTGTTCCGCAAAATATGCTTCTGCGTGGAAAACAAAGATTCATTATGGAAGAACAGGATTTGGGCACCATGGTTAGGAAGACCATTAATCCTTCATAAGTGTTTTCTCTCCTGGAATTCTTTCTGGATGTTTGCTTTCTTTTATACAGGTGGAACCAAGCCCACAAAACCTCAGCTACTAACTTCCAAGGGCTCCCATCTAAGATAGATTCCCTTAAGGAGGAGATGGATGAAGCTGGAAATAAAGTAGAGCAATGCAAGGTGTGTTCTTTTGGGAATTCTTGCTCCAGTCTCTGATGGAGAATTGATGAATATTTGGAGAATATTTCCCCTCCTAGCAAAATGGAGATTCTCAATCAGTCTTTTTCCAAAAAGCAACTGGACTTTCTTGAGGTTTTTTTTCCCTTTGAAAACGTTTAAAGGAACTGAAAGTTAGAAATGAAGAAGCTTCTTGGATGAGAAGAGAAACATTTTCAAAGGGGAAAAAAACCAAGAAAGTTCAGTTGCCTTTGGGAAAAAGCACCTTTGGGAATCCCTAGTAACAACATCCCTTGGTTTTCAGGGCAAACAGGATTTTTCATCTGGAACTTATTTATTAATATCTTTTATGCCTCTCACAGCAGTCTAACAGGTGAATTTCATTCAGCTCAGAAGGAGAGGTTCCTTATCTTAATAAACACCAGCCTTGGCTTCCTAGGAAACCTACTTCAAATTGATGATAACTGTTCTTGGTCTCTTGTACGCAGTCTCTAGAACGATGTTCCTCAATCTCAGCAATTTCAAGATGTGTAGACTTCAATTCCTAAAAGTCCACACACATCTTAAAGAATTAATAAATTATTTGTTCTAAGAATAAAGAATCTTAAAGAATTCTGGGAGTTGAAGTCCACACATCTTAAAGTTGCTAAAGTTGAGAAATCTAGAACTAATAGGAACCAGCTTTTCAATCCAGCTGAGTTAAGGCGCGCTCAGAGGAGAGATGGGCAGTCGGGAAAGAATGAAATCCCAATAAATAAATAAACCCAGTAGCCCTTTTGACTCAGCCTTCTGTCCTTTCGAGGTTGGTAAAATGAGGCAAGGCATCTCTTGAACCGGTGAATGTCAGTGTTTATGACACCAACGTTAGCAAAATGCTGAATAACAGTGGTGTGCATGTCAAGGTTGCAAGGAGAAAGACATGCCTCTCCAAAAGGATATTGCTGCCCATCTACAGTTTGCAAAAGACCATGTGGATAAGCTAGAAGGCTATTGGAAGAGTGTTCTGTAGATAGCTGAGACCCAAATATACATTTTTGAATGAAAAATATTTGTTGAAAGGCAAAACTTCCAATAACCTTATCCCAACTGTAAAATTTGATGGTGGCAGCATCAGGGTTTGGTTCTGCTTTGCTGCGTCTGGACCAGGATGACTTTCATCATTGATAGAACTCTGAATCCTGAATTGTATCACCAAATTCTAGACGAAAAAGAGAACTGTGGTTTGAAGCTGAAGAGAAAGTGGATTATGCAACAAGCAATTGGTATGACCAAAGAATTGTTTAAAGTAGAAGAAAGTCAATGTTTTGGAAGGGCTAAGTCAAGATCTCGACCACAATCCTACACAAATGTTGTGGGAGAATCTGTGAAAGGAAGTCCACCTGTTTTATATTACATTTCTGCAGAAATATTGAAAATTCAAAGGGGTTCACCCACATTTAAGCATCACTGCATGCTTACTTTTATCTGATTTTTAATAAAGTATAGTGTATAGCTTTGTTTATACTTCTTGCACAAATTATTTGGATCATGTAAAAATGGTAGAAAGTTTGAAGCCAATATTGAATAAGTTTTCCTGCATTGTATTGGAGGTAATGGACTGTGATTATATTCATTTAAAATAGGCACAGGAGATAATGATGCAGGATATAGAATTTGTTTTTTTTTTTCTGAAAGGGAAGTTTAGGTAAGGATTCCTGGACTTTTATGCAGGATATGGTTATTTTCATGAAGAATACAAAGGATCCAATGAGATTATGCATTTGTCTCCCTTTTCATGTCCTAACTTCATTGTGCTGGAGAGCAGGTTCAGGATCTGTCTGCCTGTTTCATTTACTCTGCCAGATTGCTGTGCCTATTCCAGAGGGCTGCTGGGCGAGGCAGTTCTTGTGATACTAACTTGCATCTTCTTTTTTCTACACCCCTTCCCAAAATCTCCAGGACCAACTTGCCGCTGATATGTATAACTTCATTTCCAAAGAAGGGGACTATGCGAGACACTTTATCTCGGTGAGTAACTGCCGCCCCCCCCCAGGTAGCATACCTTGTTTTTGGACATACATTTTACCTGCTTAATCCTTCTGTCTGTGTGCTGTTCTGTTCATTCAGTGCTAACTTTTGTTTTAAAATATGGGTTTTGTTCTCAGTTATTAGAAGCCCAAGCAGATTACCATAGAAAAGCATTAGCAGTCTTAGAAAAGGTGCTCCCCGAAATCCAGGCCCATCAAGGTAAAGTAACTCCATGCTCTGCCTCCTGCTTTGCCTGTGCCATCTCTGCACTCTTCCTCCTCCTCCTCCTCCTCTTCCTCCACCTCCTCCTCCAGTTTACTTCGCCCCCTTTCCGCATGCTGTCCTTCTTGAATGAAAACATGGGAGTTTTCTTAATGGTACATCTTCCAAAATTATCCTCTCCCTTTTGCAGTTGCATCCCTGAAACTCTCCCAGTTCCCTCTTAACCCACTAACAAATCCCTAGGAACTCGTCTGAAGCTCCTCCAGAGCATTGCCATTCCTTGGACAGGTGAGGCATGACAGCTCACTCCTTGGCCAGTTGTGGAGCCTTGGTCTCTCCCCTGGAGCCTGGTGCTTTTCCTCAGCCACCTTATTGGGGAATATATGAAGTTCTTGGCGAAGTCTGCTCTGATCAGCACCTCTTCCCAGAGATGTCGGATCGTAGCCTCCTGCTTGCAAAACTTTTTGTGGTGGTGCCCTGTCCTTAAATATTGTGCATGCAAAATAGCCTTCTCAAACATGGCTGCTGGGAAGGAGGTGCCATTGAGTCCTCCCAAAGACCAGCCTCCAGAACAATTTAGCGGATCCTGCAGGGAAGAAGAAGAGGGGCTATTTGACCTTGAAAAGACCTTTCAGTGACGGAGGAATCCCACAAGTATCCCAGTAAATAGCTGGTTAGCTGAGCTATATTGTCCTAAGAAGACTGAATTGTTTTTCTGCCTGCTTTATTTGTTTGTTTGTTTATTAAATTTATATGCCACCCATCTCACTCTGAGAAGCACCTTTATAAACATGTAAAATATACTAAAGGCAGTTATCAACAATAAAAATGGCAAAAAATATGAAATCATCTAAAGATCAAGTAAAATATATACAGTAGTATTTAGTTTATCAAGGTAAATTAGTCATGGCTGTGGCTAATTAGCCCTGAAATGACATGTTTTCTGCTAATATTCTAAACCCTAAAAAACGAAATACTCCTTTACAAGCCACTGCATTGATGAAGGCCGTAGGTTTCATAAATTCATTATGAGAGGCAGCGTAATGAGGGAGGGAAGTTACTCTAGACAGTAGCAGATCCTGACCTCCAGGGATGGACTTTGTGGTCTCTTTGATACTGCCAAGCAACAACTCCCACCCTCTGACTTCACGGTTGGGGCTGCTGGCCTTTGTAGTTCAGCAGCATTAGAAGAGCACCGTTATTTCGGCCTTGCTGTACACCAGTGCTGAAGGTTGTGACGTAAGCGCATCCTCGCAGAAAGCACAATTTCAGGGGCTAGTTTCTCTCAAGTCATCCAGCCTGTTCCATCGTAGCCTATTGGAGAGGCTTAATTCTGTGCTGCACGGAGCCAGATGGCCCCTGGGGCCCCTCCCAACTCTGATTCGGGGTGGGCCATCAAGGATTCGCCATTTTTGTCTGCAAGGGTTTAAGACAAACAGCTTTGTGGAAGCAACACATGTCTGGGAGAGCTTTCAGACGTCTCCTTTCTAAGTTCTTCCTGAATAACTAACAGTCTGCTCAGGCACCTCTATCTTAACCTTTTGATTTAGAATAGAAGAGAACTGAAATGGTGTTAAATGTACTTAGCAGACTGGAGAGAAGTGAAATTATTTGGGTGGGCCATTTGGCAAAATTCACGTCACTCTCCAGATTGTTTAATTGAGAAAAGATATTTATTTATTTACTTACTCTATGTATACTTGCCCAATCAGCATGCAGCTCAGGGTAGCCTATGCAATTAAAAACATATTTTTAAAAGAAAATTATACCCTGGGAACTTCCAGCAGCTCAAAACAGTCAAAAACAGTCCAGATGGGCGCGCACACATACACACAGAGAGAGAGAGAGAGAGAGAGAGAGAGAGAGAGAGAGAGAGAGAGAGAGAGAGAGAGACCTGATCCAGAGCCTCAGAAAAAGACCCGGGCTTCAGAGCCTTGGGAAAGACGAGCAACATTGTGGTCATCCATAATTGGGGGTGGCTGGATTGCCAGTGGTTGGATTACAATATTGCAGTGGAAAAGGCTGCTGAACAGCTTTCTAGGAGCCCTGGTGGCGCAGTGGTTAGAATGCAGCATTGCAGGCTGACTCTGCCAATTACCAGGAGTTCGATTCTGGCCGGCTCAAGGTTGTCTCAGCCTTCCATCCTTCTGAGGTTGGTAAAATGAGGACCCAGATTGTTGGGGGGGCAACAGGCTGACTCTGTAAACCGCTGAGAGAGGGCTGTAAAGCACTGTGGAGCAGTATATAAGTCCAGTTGCTATTGCTGTTCCTGATTGGACAGAATGGTCACCATCTCTTTTCCTGGGAGGAAACTCTGATCACCAAGAAATCACCTTTCCTTGTAAGAACGGCTCACCTCTGGCCACGTAATTCGATGAGAGGTGGATCTTCCTGCCTTAGCTACCTGTTCTCACCCCTGTGGCAACCCAACCTGCTTTTAGCATCCCTTGCCATAAAGACCTCAAGAACTGGGAAGCCTAGCATGAAAAACTGAGGAAAGCTTACCGCTTAATTAAATTACCTGATAATCGACAGCATGCCTCAATCATTGTTGCAGCCAACATTACTACCTCGTTTTGTTCCCAAATCACATGTTTTTCTAGCAACTGTATTACGTGGGTGTGAATGATGCTTCTTAAGAACTGCAAAAATCTCCCTGGGTTGATTATCTGTCATTTGACTTTGCTCTGTAAGCATGGTGGTGGCATTCTGGCACTCACCCAAGCAGTTCTGTTGGAAAAGCCCAGACCCTCATAGCAGTCAACTCTTTGGCAAACGTGGCCGGGTGAGCTGAGAGCCCTGGCCAATCCAGGCACCTCAGCCTATGTGGGAAGCCGTCTGGGTTGATTCCTCCCATGCTGCAAATTTGGTTTCTGGTTCTTCCTGGGGACAAAATTTAAAGGGCTCTGCCATCAAACGGCTCAGATCTTCTTGTATGAAGCCTAATGATCATGCTGCAGGTCTCTTCTCCCCCCCACCCCCGTTCTTCTGCATGGTGGTTTCCCAGTTGTGTGGTTGACTTTTAATTCTGCTTCTCTAACTAGACAAGTGGACTGAAAAACCAGCTTTCGGGACTCCCCTGGAGGAGCATCTCAAGCGTAGCAGCCGAGAAATCGCCGTCCCCATTGAGGCCTGTGTGATGATGCTTTTGGAAACAGGCATGAAGGAGGAGGTGGGTGAGGGGTCCACATGGGCGACCCTTCTCTTTTCCTGTGTGGGGCAAGTTTAGCTGCTGGGCTGGAAGAACCCTGGGGTCTTCTCTTGCACATACTAGATGGGCCATGTCTGGTGGCAGCAGTGCTCTATTTATTTCATCCCACCTTTATTATTTTGCAAATAACTCAAGGTGGCAAACATATCCAGCACACTTTCCTCCTCCTTTTTTCCTACAACAACCCTGTGAGGTGGGTTGGGCTGAGAGAGAGTGACTGGCCTAAGATCACCCAGCCGGCTTTCATGCTTAAGGTGGGACTTGGATTCACGGTCTTCTGTTTAGCTGGCTGCTCTTTCTCCCTGGCCAAGGGGCTCCCACGTGTCTGGACCTCCACATGCTGCCTCCCGCTCGTCTGAGGCGGCCAGTTTGGCATCTTGGCTGCCAAATTTCCTGAAATCCCTTGAAGAGGGTTTGATGGAGGTTTTGCAGAGCCTTGAGCCTCACTCGGATTGTGCTGGCCAAGTAATTTGGAAGCAGCCTGAATCTTTCCACTTGTTTGAGTCATTTTAGCTTTCTTTCTTCACTGCACTTCTGGTAGCAAACTGCTGGCCCAGACTGGCCTTGTGGCAGCTGCAGGTGCTTCTCTGATACCCCAGGCTCCCTGAGTGGGAGGGCCGTGCCAGTTGCCTGTCCTCCCCCCACCCGCAAAGGAAGAAGAAGCTGAAGGTGATGTGGAGCCTCCTGGAGGGCTTGAGGAGCTAATCAAGGCCCACATGCAAGAGGGTAGCAAGGAGTGAAGTTTACTTCCATGTATTCCAAAATTGCTATTTTGCTATGTTTTGTAGAAGCAGCAGTGTGTCTTTCAGACTTCCCTTTTGTCTTGTGCTTCGTATCTAGGCCTATTTGTTTCCCCTTCGGGCTCATCCACTTGCCTTGTCAAAAATGGGTGTTGGAGCAGAAAGCTGCAGGTTCAACATCCGTGGTTTGGTATTTAGGAACGGGGTCCCTACCTCTGTCTGTGTTACGTGTCTTTCAGCCTTGTCCCCAGGAGATGCAAGAATAAATGCACCCCTGGAGCCACAGCACAAAGGCTGCCTTCTCGCAGCAGTGGGGTGAGAAGGAGCCCACGTTCCGTCTCAGATTTTAGAAAGTTCGGGAACTGCTGGCCAATCAGGATTTTAGGGGGAACAGACTTAAACCGTGACAAGAAGGGACATGTAGGATGTCAGAGTTGAGTCAGAGTTCACTTGGGAAAAGCTGTCAGCTTTGTGGCCATAATTGTAGCATCCATTTGTCCATTTTTTCTGGGAAAAAACATGCTTCTGTTTTGAAGCACAAGCTGACTTCTGTTCACAGAATATTCCAAGAAGAAATAGGGAAGAGTCACTTAGCTGAGATGAATTTTCAAGCCGTCTTTTGCCATAGTGGCCTAAGAAAGACAGAACCCTCTCCCAGCTGATCCTCCTGTGTCCGATTGCTCAAAGAAATGGTGTCCCATTCCATCAGGACCTCAGCGGCCCCAGCTCAGCGTGTCCCCAAGTGGTGTATGAGGTCAGCCGAACTGACTCTGGTTTCTTTCCCTGATGTCTTGCAACGTCACCATCTTGGAAGGGAGATCTTTTTCATGAAATGGGGAGATAAGCAGTGTAGATCCCAGTGCAAAGAGACCCTGGCTGAGGGAAGGGTGTGTTTCCTGTCCTCCCCAGGGCTTATTCCGCATTGCTGCTGGAGCCTCCAAGCTAAAGAAGCTGAAAGCAGCGCTGGATTGCTCCTCCTCGCACCTGGATGAGTTTTACTCAGATCCTCATGCCGTGGCTGGTAAGTGGCTCCCAAAAGAAGAGGCACGCCTCTTCTTCGTGGCTCTGCCCCAGGCTTGGAGGGACTCAGAATCGACTGGGGAGAGCTGAGGAGAGAGACCAGTGGAGGTCCGTACTTCTTTGCTGGTTTCAAAATTGGCCACAACTGAGGTCCTCCCCGTGGGTTGTTTTTATGTGGCAGGACTTACTATGGTACAAATCAGTTCTTGGAGATGGGTTGAAAAAGTCAGTTCCAATTTCAGTTTCAGGGGGGTTGAAAAAGGGAAGTGGTGCAATCAGTGCCACCATTTTGTCAACACCCTGACAGTTTCCCTCCTTATTACAGTTTAAGAGGAGTCCAAATATAGCTCATATTATCAGAGTATATTTTTTTCAAAATATCCCAAAACAGCATTGGCCACAGGTAACTTTGCCAGGCAAATAATTAAATATAAACATACACCGTAGACATATTTTATCCCTCTTAGCCATATAAATATTTAGTTGATTTAAAATGTCTGCACCTGCCTTCAATTGCCCAGTGGAAAGGCAGCTAACAAAAAAGGGGCATTTACAAAATAATTACAGAATAACAGAATTGGAAGGGACCTTGGAGGTCTTCTAGTCCAACCCACTGCTCAAGCAGGAGATCCCATAGCATTTTGGACAAATGGCCTTCAAATCTCTTCTTAAAAACCTCCAGTGATGGAGTACCCACAACCTCTGGAGGCAAGGTGTTCCACTGGTTAATTGTTCTCACTATTAGAAAATTTCTTTCTAATTCTAGGTTGGACCTCTCCTTGATAAGTTTCCATCTGTTACTTCTTGTCCTTCTTTCAGTTGCTTTGGAAAATAGGTTGAATCCCCCCCCCCACTTCCTCTGTGACAGCCCTTCAAATATTGGAACACTGCTATCATGTTACTCCTAGTCCTTCTCTTTGTTATAGTAGACATTCCTGCAACCGTTTTTCATATGTTTTAGCCTCCAGTCACCTAATCATCTTTGTTGCCTTTCTCTGCACTGTTTCTAGTGTCTCAACATGTTTTTTATATGAGGACCAAAACCTGACACAATATACCAAGTGTTGTTTTACCAGTACAATAAAAGGCGGTACTATCTCTTCATGTGATCTTGATGCTATCCCTCTGTTGATGCAGCCAAGGACTGACTGCATTGGCTTTTTTTAGCAGCTACAGCACACGGCTGGCTCCTACTTAAGTGGTTGTCCACTAGGACTCCTAGATTCCTCTCACTCTTACTGCGTTGAGCCAAGTGCCACCTATTTAAAACTTGTTTTCTGCAATTTAAAAAATCAAAGTAGGAGCAAATGATAGGAAAATATTTTTAAACATGCTTTTTAAATCATTGATGTGGGTTTAAAAGAAGGGGTTTCACCTCAACTCCTCTTGGTGGGGGACAGGTGGTCCTCCTGAGTAGCTGCACTGATGATCTTGCTGTAAACTCAATAGAGCTGGAAGGGACTTTCAAGGTCTTCTAGTCCAACCCCCTGCTCAAGCAGGAGATCCTATATCAGACATGTCAAACTCACAACGTCACATGACGTCACGCAACGTATCGGAGCTTTTTCACCATTGCCGGCAATGGGGTGGGCGCGGCTCTGGTATGATGAAACCGGCCCATGGGCCGGCAGTTCGACACCCCTGCCCTACATCATTTCAGACAAGTGACTGTCCAGCCTCTTCTTAAAAACCCCCAGTGATGAAGCACCCTCAACATCTGGAGGCAAGCTGTTCCACTGGTTAATTGTCCTCACTGTTAGGACATTTCTCCTTAATTCCAGGTTGCTTCTCTCTTTGATCAGTTTCCATCCATTGTTTCTTGTCTTGCCTTCTGCTGCTTTGGAAAATAAGTAGCCTCTCAAATACTGGAATCCTGCTATCATGTCTCCCCTAGTCCTTCTTTTCTGTAGACTAGCCATACCCAGTTCCTGCAACCATTCTTCATATGTTTTAGTCTCCAGGCCTTTAATCATCTTAGTTCCTCTTCTTTGCACTTTTCTAAAGTCTCAACCTCTTTTTTTTAATCTGGTGACCAAAAGTGGATGCAGCAGCTGTTTGGATTCCCTTACAGCCTGGCTAAGGCATGTCCAGTTGCAACACCCAGCCTGATTTGCTTTGACTCTCCCTCCTTATTTTTGCTTCAGGGGCCCTGAAGTCCTACCTGAGGGAGCTGCCAGAACCACTGATGACCTATGCCCTGTATGAAGAGTGGACCCAGGTTGCAAAGTAAGGCTGATTTTTCCTGGGATCTCTGGTTTGGCCTTGTCGATGCTTGAAAAAGCTTTGGAAAGTTGTGCTTGAAAATCACTTTCTTGATTTTCTCCTTGCATTTCTTTCACTGTTCTTTTTAAAGCAACGATGTTGTGCTTTCATTTTGTTTTATCATTTTTTTCTGGTTTACTGTTGTAAGCTGCACAGTAACCCCACGATGACAAGGGTGACAAATACATTTAAAAATAATAAATAATGATAAGACTTCTGTTTCAAGCCTACATTGACCAATTGGTATTTTGTTTTTCACATACTTACCTTACGCATTCAGGGTAAGATGAATAAATTTGATAGTAATAATAAAAACAGAGATTACTGTTGCATTATTTTCCTCCAAACTGGTTAATATTTCTAAGCAGTTAATGTAGGATCTTCTAGTTTTAGATTTTTCTTCAGCAACCGCTGATAGCAGCTTTGCAAGTAAAGCTCTGTTGCACATGGGAATAAAAGTGCAAGTCCATCCCTTATGTTTAAATCTCAAGAGAACATCTTGTTTTCCCTTAGCATCCAGGACCAGGATAAGAAACTGCAAGACCTGTGGAGAATTTGCCAAAAATTGCCAAAGCCTAACCTGGCCAACTTCAGGTAAGTAGGGGCTCAGAGGCTTTCTTCCCTCCTTGGTTTTAAAATGGAGAATTCCAGGGTGCAGAAACTCAAAGAATATGTTCATTGTAATATTATGACCTCCCCTGGAATGGGAGCGTTCTGCATTGTTTGCCACTTTGAAGTTTGCAGTACAAACTCTAGTCTAGAGAATGCAAATCATAGAAGCCAGGGTGCACCAGTTGGCAGTTATGCTCTGAGACCTGAGGCAAGGGTTTGATCTGGAGGGACCTGACGCTGTATTTAGAATGTTCTAGAAGAGGGGTATCAGCTTTGGCAACTTTAAGACCTGTGGACTTCCAACTCCCAGCATTCCCCAGCCAGCCAGGTCTTAAAGTTGCCGAAGTTTGACACCTGTCTTCTAGAGGCAGAGCAGGGGCTCTGTTCCTGAGCTGCTACACAGTCCCTCTTTGGCCTAATCCCCACTGGAATATATAGGAATCATACAAATGTAAAGATAGTCCTACCATCTCCGGTATGAAGGAAAACCATTTCATCCATTCACGAGAGGTGGCTGCCCAGCTTCTTCATAAACCCCTCCAGAGATGGTGAACTCAAAACTTCCACCTATGGAATTGTCACTTAGAAAACTTCAACAAGAATTCCAATGGATGCTGTTGTCCATGGGGCTCTGAAGCCCCACGAGTAATCCCTCCAAAGAGTTTCCCACTCTTGATTTGTGTGCTCCTGCCCAGGCAAGAACTGAAATTCACAATACTTTTGTGGAATTTTTGTACCGTATTTCTATCTAGGAGAGAGAGAGAGTGAGCTGAGTATCTTGGACTTCAGTTTTCCTGAAGTGACCAGCGATGCCTTTGGTTCTCCTTAGAGCCTAACACTGATTATTTCTTGCAGGTATTTAATCAAATTCCTTGCAAAACTCGCACAGTATAGTGATGTTAACAAGATGACTCCTAGCAACATTGCCATTGTGCTGGGCCCAAATTTGTTGTGGGCCAAGAATGAAGGGTAAGTGTTGAGTTCTAATACTTGAATTGCCAAATCAGCAGAATCGGGCTAATCCCCATCAGCCATCCTATTTCTGATGCCTTTAGCAGCTCTTCTTCGAACTGCAGCTCGGGGGCCCTTGGTCAGGGGGTGAATCTTGGATACTTGTAGGGTTAGATTCTGGCCTAGTTCTTTAACGGAAAAGGCCCAGCACAAACTAAAGCACTGCATAAGAAGTCACTACCAAGTATTTCTGGGCCATTTATTTGTTTTGTGCAAGAAAGATTAATAGCATCACTAAGATTTTTATTACTCAATTCTGCAAGTCCTAAGATTTGTTAAAAACTTGAGCCTGCCAGGGCAATCCATCTTGGCAGATTTTCAGAGGCCAAATGTAACACTTGAGGGAATGCACTTTGTCGCGTAAGAGCAACACAGGGGAAGGCTCTGTCCCACTGGAGGTCTCTGGAAGCCTCGGGCAGAATCTTCAGGAGACCTTCTCCTGAAGGTTTTGCAAGAGGAGAGGCCCTTAGAGCAGGGGGGTCAAACTGCCGGCCTGCGGGCTGGTTTTATCATACCGAAGCCGCATCCACCCCATGGCCGGCAATGCAAAAATAGTCACGACACGTCACGTGATGTGGCGAGTTTGACACCCGTGCCTTAGAGGGAGTGGACTTTAAACCCTTCAATTGTGCCCAGTAAATAGTTTGGCAGCCTAGGGGGAGATTATATTTGATGTATTCAATTATTATAGGTATATAATGGAATTGTATTAATAAGAGGATATACTCGGCTGGTACCCCAAGCTGCACTCGACGAGGTGGTTAAGAATGTGGAGGGGATGTAGAGAAGTGGTAAGAAAAGGAGGAGAGGTTGTGGGTTTAGGGGGAGGAGTATCTGAAAATGTTTTGAGTATTTTTATTGTTTGTTGGTGTATATAGAGGCATCATTTGTATTTGTTGTTTTAATTGAAAAATTAATAAAAATTTCTATTAAAAAAAAAAAGTTTGGCAGCCAATAGATCCTCTGCCGGACATCCCTTGACCCCTGTTTCTGAGCCCAGTGAGCGGAATTCATTAGCTTCCTTGATTGCTGAGAACATCTTTAAAGCCAATGGTCTTCTCTCCCCAGCTCTCTTGCAGAAATGGCAGCAGCAACCTCAGTGCACGTGGTTGCCGTTGTTGAGCCCATCATCCAGCACGCTGCCTGGTTCTTTCCTGAAGGTAAAGAAAATGCTATTTCTTCTTTGCACGCAATCCCAGTTGTTCCTTCCTAGGGGAATTGGTAGGCTAATAGAGGGACTGCTCTGCTCTTTGCTTTTGATATTTTCGCATCCTTGTAAAAGCCCATGTAAAGTATTGAAAAGAATGAGCTTGGAAACATCTTTTGTTTTTAAATACATTTTTGTTGAACATTTTAAGAGAAAATACATAAAGTGGGAAGAAAGAGAAATGGGGACGAAAATCTTGTGGAAAAAAAACAAGGCATTTACAATTAATAGAAATTACAATTTTTCAACACATCATCAATTAATTTTAAGTAATAGAATATATTATATTGTAAAAAATCTAAAAATTATTATTAAACTATTAAGAGAATATAACTATAGGGAACCGTAATGAGCATAATATCAATCACAAAATGAAATTGTAAATTACAATGAATTCTGCCCATGCTGCTGGGAGTAAAATATTTAAAAAAATGAAATATGTATTTTATTTAGAAATATTTAAAAATTTACTTTATGTAGAGGAAAACCAAAAATGTATCAAAAACCACATGCAACAAATTACAAAATGGTTTGCAATTTGAATCAAATTCTATGTCAGATTTACTTTTAAAATAACAAGCTTATTCTAGATGTTGAACTGTATTCCTACAATTCAGTGAGCCATTCTTAGGAAGGATCAAACAATCCTTTCTAATAAAAGGCATAAAGTATCCTCACAGCAGTTAGTATGTACAAAGCTAATCCAAGCTATTTTATGGGAATATAGAGTTAGTAAAAATACTGCAGTTGAAAGCATCACCTACTCACCTTTTAAAATTTGCTTCATTCTGCTGTGAATCATTTTCCAGAAATGTTGAGCAGCAAAGCCAATTGTAAAAATGTAATTTCTGAATCATGTGAGGTTGGAAACATCTTAATATCTCCATTCAGTTATCAGCTAATTCTCTGGAGACATTAATTCCACTGAAACATTGAACTTACAGCTTTTATTACAAGTTTTGGGTGCCACTCTAATTTTTTTAACTTGCAAGTTGTATTTGTTTATTTTTTATGCCACCCATCTCCACTATAGCAGTAGCACTTAGACTTATATACCACCCCATAGCACTTTACAGCACTCTCTGAGCAGTTCACAGCGTCAGCATCTTGCCCCCAACAATCTGGGTCCTCATTTTACTGAGCTCAGAAGGAAAGAAAGCTGAGTCAACTAGAGCCAGTCAGGATCGAATTCCAGGCTGTGAGCAGAGTTAGCCTGCAGTACTGCATTCCAACCACTGCATCACCAGGGCTATAAGTGACTGAGTGGCTTACAAGGTTTTAAACAAGAAGAAAAATAATTAAAACATTACAACTACACAGATTAAGATTTTAACTCTAAATGGAAACCAGAACTAAGAGACGGGCAGGGCAAGAACTTCTTACTCTATCAGCCACCCCCCTCGAGGCCCCAGGCCAACCAGCAAAATAAGTTTTCATTCCTTCCAGAAGGCCAAAAGGGAGGGGGCAGTTCTCACCTCCAGTGGTAGAGTGTTCCACAGGGATGGGGCACAGCGGAAAGGGCTCTTCCCCTTGAACCCAGTGCTGGAATTCCTTAGCAGATGGGATCTGCAGGTCTCTTCTGGTGGTGCCCAGTGGGGTAGGCTTGTCCCATTGGGGAAAGGCGGCTCCTTAGATGCCTGCCTGGACCCATGCCGTGCAGGGCTTTAAGGTAACAACTAACATCTTGAATTGGATCCAGAAGCAAACCTGTAACCAATGCAGCGTGCACACTGTTATGTGTGCAACCCTAACAACTCCGGGACTGTGCATGGTGCTGCATTCCTTTGTGTTGTGCTACTTTGTCTGATCGTTTTAATCTGAAAAGGGAGATAGAAATGAATTTACCTTAATAAGGTATTTTTGTCCTCTGAGACTCTTGTATTCCTGAATTCACAGAGCTGGATTTCAATGTGTCTGGAGCGTTTGTGGGGCAGCCGGCTGTGTACTCCAACCACCTTCCTGCAGGGGGTGACTATGATTCCGGGACCCTGGAGCGGAAGAGGCCGGTCAGCATGGCTGTGATGGAAGGGGAGCTCCTAAGAAAGGAGAGGTAAAGTGACCGTTTCTTCCCTTCCTCCATCCTATTGTTGGTCTTGCAGTTTATTCAATATCACTTGTTGCTGTTTAACTTAAGTTAAAGGTGTTTGAAGTTCTTTCAGAGGTCATAAATTTGAGTTTGATCTTCACAAGCAACAGTCCCTTTCTTGGCACATAAGAAATCAAAGATTTCTTTGTCCAATGAAGGAAAACAGATCAGATTGTTGTTATGAAAGAGCCCTGTTGGCTCTTTCAGTTCCCCCCCCCCTTCAAATGTTGCATAGTGAGTGATGTTTGAATTTTGGCAGAAGTTGGCACTCGTTTCTAAGTTAGTTGCACTCACAACAGTTTTTGCCTCTGAGAATGATTACCTTCATGCTGTATATTAGCAGCCAATCAGAGAGGTTCCATCCAAAGTGGTTTAGAGCAGGGGTCTCCAACCTTGGTAACCTTGAATTCTGGGAGTTGAAGCCCACAAGCCTTAAAATTGCCAAGGTTGGAGACCTCTGGTTTAGAGTATTAAAAACTATTGATGGTGTTCCTTTCAATCACCAAGCCTGGAAGGCACAAATGTATCCACTTGAGTGCCAAAGTACCGGCATGGCTGCTCAGGGTGTCGGGTCCAAAGGCATCTGTTGGGCAGCTGCTTAGGTGAGCCACCAAAGGCATCTGATGGGCCTCCTTAAGGTATTCTGCAGGTGGGCATTGCGTATGTTGACAGGCTTTCTGGAAGCCTCTGTCAGAGAGGAGCTGGGCATGCCTGGAGCTATGGCCAGCCAGCCCTGAGTGGTGCCTTTCCCCTCCTTACTGCAGCCTAAGGAAGATCCAGAGGTAATGTACATGCTGTTCTTTCCTACTCACCGTGTTCCACGCATGATAGAAGCCCGAGGGAGATCTGGCGCTGTGGAAGCAGCAGGAACAGACTCCCCTTGGGATCCGCGTAGGGCCCGCAAGAAGGTGTCCCTGCCAGTCAGGACCAAGGAAGACTGGCAGCCCTCGTGATAAACGATTACAGGCTCCTGATCTCCTGCAGCCCTTTTTTATAATCCATGACAATCCAAAGCTCGTTTGTTATGCCAGTCGCCTTCCCTGAAATTCTATCGTGTCTTTGGAACACCAAATTTCAGACTGGAAATTTGCTGTGACTTTAGTTTGAAGAGTGCTTAGCACATGTTGTTTCTCTGTGTGCTTTGGGCTTCCCTGAACTCTGTTGTATCCTGACTTCCAGTGTGAGCTACTTAGCTTTTCCTTGCCTTACTAGCAGCTAGACCAGGGATCTCAAACTCCCAGCCGAAGGGCTACAACCGGTTGAAGACCAGGCATCCTAAAGTGGCCAAGGTTGAGAAATACTGACTTAGAGGCAAGGCTGAGTCTGCCGGCTGGCAGAGATGGCCCTGGCCACATTCATTGCAGATACTGAGTCCGCTGGCTCTGGGCTGAGAAGGAAGGGTCTCCCATCCTGCATCCAGGCCCTGCCCCTGCCTGCACAGGTATGCCGAATGGAAGGAGGTGCCCCAGAACACAGTAGGCGAGATCTCTCCAGGGCAGGGAAGTGAGCTGTGGCAGCTCTTTGGAAACGCTGCCTGGGATTTCAGTGGCCCCCTGCTACAGGGGAGGGGCCGGGGCCATTTCCACTGCCTCCTGGCCATGCTCCAAGCACAAACCCACCCCTGCACACAGGAGCCCCACCTTCGGTAGCAACCACAGCAGCCACTGCACAGCCCCTCAGCTGTCAGCCAGCCAGTTAGCCAAAATGAAATGCAGTGAAATGGCTGTAGGGTGTTGTGTGTGTGTGTGTGTGTGAGAGAGAGAGAGAGAGAGATAAAGGTCTGTTTTCTGGCATATGTGAACCTCTTTCTTCATGAAAGAGTTTTTAGAAAATCAAGTATGCAAAGACTTCAGTGACAATCTGAGTTTGAGGTCCCTGAGCTAGACAGACATTTGTTCTACATGCTCTACATTGGATTCATCAGTATTTTAGTTTTCATGTTTTTGTTTCTGCACATTAACTGGGGTTGTGTGTATTCTGGACTTTTACAAATTCAAACATCTAAATCAATAAAATGAATAATTAAGCCACGCGTATTATGCCAATTTATTTACCTTGACCTGTTTTAAATCATTTTGCTGCCCGTAAATCTGGGAAAGGGAAACAAATTCTACAGGGCACCAAAGTCTTGAGGTGCAGTTTGTGCCTCCCCTGTGACTGAGGACAAGAAGCCCGACCTCTTGGTGCTGAGGGCTGGATTGATTATTTATTTATTTATTTATTTATTTATTAAATGAGTGACTCTGGGCGGCTTTTGTGTCTCTGCTGTTGTTGTGGCTGCCATTGTTATTGCCGTGACCGCCACTGAATACACACAGCCTGGCCATTAATATTTAAAGAGGTACCGATGCATGTCTGTGACTTAACCAGGGATGTTCTCAGCTGGAGTGTCCCAGGCATTTGGACCACAGGGGGATGATACCAAAAAGGCCCTGTGGATGGAGCTGCCTGGCAGCCAATGAAGCCTCCAAGATGTCCTGGGAAGGGAAATCTTTTCAAACCACTGCAGAATTCCTGGGGCTGCTTAAGGAGGGATAAAGTGGGCGCATACTGGTCTGCCCAAAAATAGAATGGTCCAGTATGGATATATTGTCTCTGCATTACTCTCACTCTCTCTGTGTCTCGCACGCACGCACGCACACACAAAACGAAATGGATGTTGAATAATCGATCTTGCTGGTCCTCAATGCCTGTCGCACTCTTCCTGGCTGAGCCAAAGTGCATTGCACTTTTCAAACTCTGGCTGGCAGAGTTTGTGTGTTCCTTGTTGCTTATTTGCATGGCCAGCAGCAGGAACTCGCCTTCCGTCTCCCCAAGTAGTTATACTTACTCTTGTTGTGTTCGCGTGTAGCCCGTCTGCATGGAGTGTTTACTCTCTCTCTCCTCTGTAGCTTTGGTGTGAAGGTTATGGACTTCCAGGCAAATCCCCGGAGAGTTGGCACTGTGAATAGAAAGCACACAGCCCCAGCTTTCCAGCCACCGCTTCCGCCCACGGAGGCTGGCCCGCTGGCCCTGGCCACGGCGGAGCAGCACCCACAGGCCCCTGGGGCTGAGCCCGGCCTCGCGGGTGTTTCCTCTGCCTGCCTGCCTGGCTCAGCAGAGCATTCTCACAGCCAAGGCACGGAGGACAGCAGGTAAGAGGGGAGGCTCAGAGAGGCAGGCTCAGGGTGGGCCACGGTCCTTTGAAATGAGGCGTTCGTACTTTTCCCTGGAGCAAAGTGCCTGGTCGTCGACCCCCCAAGCAAAAGGGAGGTGCTTTGCAGGCTGGCCTGCTTTGTTGCCACAAGGAAGCAGAACAGTCGTGATCATCCTGCCTTAAAGCAGGCAAAGTCGCCCTCCTGCTTCCCTCCTGAGGTCATGCCAGAGCCCGCCCAAAGGTAGGGATTCTCCCTCCCGCCTGACTTGGAGAGATGGTAGCTTGTTCTTCTAACCCACTAGCTAGAACCTGTTTGTTTCGTCTTCGTAGGCTATGTACCCCCCCGGTCAGTGTGCCACAGTGTTATTGTGCTTTAGCTTTTCCTTCCATGGGGAGTGGAAGGAAAAGCTAAACATGTGATGCATGTTCCTTCTGAGGAAGCTGATTTTCTGCACTGGAGAAAGAGAGATCTGCTCCCCCAAGGCCTTCCACCAATTTGACTCTGGGCCCTTGCTGGGCAGCCTATGAGCGTAACTTTGGGGAGAAGATATGGAAGCAGTTGCTCAGAGAAGCCTTGCTATTCTGAACAAGCTCCCCAAAATATTTGTGTTTGAGCAAAGACCAGGTTGTAGGAATGGGCAAAGCAAGAAATGTAGCTTGTTAAAATCAGTTCAAGGGACCTGAGTGAGATTCAAGGACTGGTGAGTAGCTGAAGAGATGCTCATTGGGTTTCTGGAGAACTGCAACCTTTGGCACAGAATCTACATGGTACATCTCAGAGAAACTAGGGGGACGACGCTCTTGCATCTTTAAGGACCCCCCCCCCCAACTCTGTGGTGCTTGCAGTTGGTATTGCTAACCTTGGTGCTCTGCTGCTTTAAGCACTTCTGAATTTTTTTCCTAAGCTATGGGGATTCTATGGACCCCAGACAGCTGGGTCAAGCAGGCCACCAATGGACTAGTGACAAGGGGGGGGGGGTGTCTGCCTGCACCTTGCATCTGTTTAATGCAAAAAGGGCCCCACATCACACGATGAGCCTTAGAGAGAAGCAGCTTCTGGCATCCGGCAGGAGCCTTTGATGCAGTCTTTCTCTCCTTGCAGCTCTTCCAAGCCAAAGGACTCGGTGCCCTCAACCACACCGCCACCCCCCAGAAATGGTGGACCCACTCAGCCTCTCAGCAGCACCAGCCAGCACTTGGTTGGGCAGCCCCAGAGCACCGCCGGGCCCAGCCCACACGCCCTCAGGCGAGGTTTGTCCTTCAGGAATTACATTTGCAGCCTGGTGGGGGTGGGGGGTGGGGGTCAATCTAAAGCTACCAGATCTTTCCTGAAGATCAACTTTTCAATCAGAGTTTGCCCATTTGGGGTGAGCAGGGGAAGAAAGGATTTCTACACTGGCCTTTCTTTTTCAGTTCTGGTCACCTTGCAGGAGGGCCAGAGAGCATGTTTTGCATGGCATTGGCTACTTTGGCTATTTCACACCAAGAGAATGCAGAACTTGCTCCCAAATTAGACAGTTGAATTTGCCTGACTCCGCATCTGAAGTTACTCAAGTGATCAATTCTTTGGGGGATAAATCACATGGAGGAGGAGCAGAGCTGGTATGGGAAGTGAGAACGCTCAAAAAGATTTATTTCTTCATTTTGTAAATGTATATAGGCACCCATGCCATACAAATGACTGATACAAAGTAAAAAAACAACAACACACACACACACACTAATACAACAAAATAACCACAACATAACAACAAAAACCACTTCACTCTTTCTGTTGGAACTGATTGGATGGGTAGATTAGATTAGACTGCTGGGTTCAGACAAATTTTGGCCAGGGGGGCATAGAGCAGACTGGGCACGCAGGGACGGTTCCACGTGGAGCCACAGAGGGCAATGGAGCTCTCTTCTCACACACACACCCCACTGCATTATACTCTTACAACAGGGCTCTCCAAACTTGGCATGCTGGCTGGGGAACTCTGGGAGTTGAAGTCCACAAGTCTTAAAGTAACCAAGTTTGGAGATCCCTGCTCTTATAAAACAGAAGGTCTGCAGGCATTTCCCTAGGAGAGGAAATGAAGCAGCCCCCTCCTAAAAAGAGGCTGACCAGGCTGGGTCTTCCGCGGTAAAAAAAAACTCCATCCAATTTCAGGGTCCCCCGTGAAGCTCAGTCTTTCTCAGACAGGAACCGGAGTCTTTTTTCAGTCGGGGTGCCAGGCACTTATGGCAGCCCATGAGGTAATCAGAAGCTTTGTGCTCATCCACAGTTTCAGCCATGTCTTTTCCTTTTGCTCTCTCTTTCAGCCATCAAGAAACCTGCACCGGCCCCTCCAAAGCCAGCAAACCCACCACCGGGGCAGCCAGGGATCCCGAGTGCCACTCCAGCCCCCAAGCCCCCCACTAGGAGCCCTTCTCCTCCCAGCCAGCAGTCAAACCAAGGAGGTGCTCAGCCTTCTGCTGCCCCGCCCCATATTTCCGCCCCCCGGCGATACTCGAGCAGCCTCTCCCCGATACAGGCTCCCAGCCACCCACCCCCTCAGCCCCCCACGCAGTCCATAACACCACCTCCGCAGAGCAAGACTGGTAGTTTTGGACCCTCCCCGCCTGGCCCAGAGGGAGGGTCAGAGCAGCCGTCACCCACTCCTCCGCAAACCCCCACACCGCCTGACACGCCCCCCCTGGAGAAGCACAGCGCCGCCTGCTCAGCCGCCCAGCCTTCGACCCAGGACATTCCACCGGCCCAGTCGCCTCCTCCATCTGGCACGCTGCCGAGGCCCCGGCCAGTGCCCAGACCTCGCAACCGTCCCACGGTGCCCCCTCCGCCTCACCCGCCTGCTCCTCACCTGTCTGCAAACGGCTCTCTGCTGGGTCCTCCGGCAACAGCGTCGCACATCGTGACCGGTAAGAGCCCTCTCAGCTCCACAGGCATGTCTTTGAGCCAGGCTTTGATGCAGGAATGCTCCACCCCAGTGGGGACGGCCAAAGGAAGCCCCCCCCCAAAGCAAGCCAGCTATGGCTGTCAGCCAGCCCTCCGTTGGAATCGCAGGGCTGCTGTCCCTTGAGATTGGCAAAGTCCATGGACGAGATGATAAAGGCAGATTAACTGGATTCGTAGCAGCAGATAGTCTAGATAGGAGCATAGGGCATCATTTCAGAGAAGAAGTAGTAGAGATATTGGAGCAAATAGGAAATACGCACGCCCATTTCAGCGTTCACAACAAGTTTTGCTTTCCTATAACTAAAGAACAAAAGCATCCTCGACAGTCAGACCTCAGCAGTCCCATTTTGTGTTCTGGGCTTTTCCATATCATCCTTTGCTAGTCCCCGTTCTTTCCCTCCAACCGTAGCAGTTCAGCCTTCCCTCTGATTTCCCTCTGCTATCAAAATTATTTTCCTTCACACTGAAGAACATTCCAAGATGTCAGGTTTGCTCCCTGTGTTATTATAGTAGTACACCCAGATCAGTAAAGGCAGGTTTTATCCTTTATTCTCCGTGGTTCCTTCCTTGCTGCCCCAGGCAGGGTGCTGGTTCAGAAACATTGAGAAAATTTCAGTGCTGTTCATTAGACCATGGGAAGACTGGCTGAATTTTATTATACTCGGATTGTAGGCGGCAGACAGGGGGAGTAGCAGCAATTTATTCTTTGATTTAAGCCCCGTCCCTTGCCAGCTAACAAAGTAATTTCCCTGTTGGTGCAATGCGAATGTGATTCATTTATTGCAGATTGCATCAATATTTACAAGCTCTTTTTATTTCTTAATCTGGATTGGGCGCTTTTTAATAATGCTTAACGTTAATTTTTAGCAGCATATTAGGACAAAGTCTTGACTTCTGGCAGAATGAAATAGCGCATGCCCATCTCTTAATTTTAGCAGACTCTAACATATTGATCCACAGAACCTTTGCAGAATTGTAATGGCTACTGGAACAAAACAAGTTTCAGCTGCCAAAATAATCCTTTGAATCCTTTAGGTTGTAATATATCTACAAATAGTATTCTAATTGAGAATTTTATTAAATAATCTAGATGTTTGAGCTGCCTTATTCAATAGGAACTGAAATTGGAAATGGTAAGAGGAAATTGAGGCCTTCCGATTGGCCGGAAATGTTGCAAATGTTGCATAATCATGGATGCCGCTTTTGTTTCTTACTAACTAGTCACCCGTAACCTGGCTTGCTTGCACCTGGACTAATCCTGCATGTGAAAGGAGTGATGCTTTTCTTGTCCATTGTTTGTAATGTTGATCTCCATATTAATGCATTCCCTGGATGTATTCTGGTCTACTGCCCCTCCCCGATCCATCTTTGTCAACCTTTCATCAGCAGACATTGGAATGAATTTCTGCTTTTCAAAATCTTCAGAGCTTCGTAGCATGTCCAGATAGAAGTAAAAGGTGCACACAGAGAGGCTCACGTAAACTGTTCTTCCTTCCACCCTTGTGATGGCGAATGAGTTCTCTCCACAGAGAGCTAAGTGCAACCTTGCAGGCCCATGCCAGTCCTGCCACTGGTTGCTGTTCCCTTATTGTGTGAACAAGGTACCTCCACTGCTGCACAGGGCTTAAATATGCAGGGTAAGAAGACTCTGAAAGAAAGGCTTCTTGTACGGATTGGAAGCTCTGCGTTAAGAATTATGTATTCTTAATAAAATACAAACTTGGTGTGATCTTGGAGTAAGCAGCCGTTGCCCCAGGCAGGTTGGCATGCATTCTTTTGTCCTAGTTGTAGTACTGCTGGCCAAGAGCTCTGTCAACTGTGATGTCTAATCTTTTATGTGTAGAGCAGGGGTGTTAAACTGCCGGCCCACGGGCCGGTTTCATCATACCAGAGCCGCGCCCACCCCATTGCCGGCAGTGGCGAAAAGGCTCCGATACGTTGCGCGACGTCACATGACGTTGCGAGTTTGACATGTCTGGTGTAGAGGGACTCAGCTCCAAATACTGTCTAATTTTCTGGAGGTCACCTTGACTTAGAAAGATGATACAGCAGCCAAAGCATCTTTCTGGTGAACAGTAGATTGGCCCCAACCTGTTAGGCTCCAAAAACCAAGAAAAACATGTCAAATTTTTTCTAAGCAGTTTCCTTTATCGTTCCTCACCTGCAGACAGAAATCTTGCCAAACTAAAGCAACTACTTGCATCATGTAAGATCTACTTGAGAACATCTAGGGAAGGAACTGTCTTGACCCTCTTCCTCTTGGTCCTCTGGTCTGCAGCCTCTCCCTCCTGGGAATCCAGACAACATTCCACCGCACCCACATAGGCTAAAAGCAGGCAGTCCAGTCGACCCCCTGCTCTGCCTCATGCCCCGTCTTGCTCTAGCAGCAGCCCTCATCCAACTCTATGGAATTTTGAGGTCATTAAAGCTCTGTCATTAGAGCCAAGTCTGGTGCCCATCCAAGCTTTGCCCATGTGATTGTCAGACAGGAGCAGAACTTAGTACGGAAAGCCGTAACTAGAGTTGCATCTCTGCTGGTGAGGAAATGTACAGTGAGGGAAAAAATTATTTGATCCCCTGCTGATTTTGTACGTTTGTCCACTGACAAAGAAATGATCGGTCTATAATTTTAATGGTAGGTTTATTTTAACAGGGAGAGGCAGAATAACAACAAAAAAATCCAGAATAACGCATTTCAAAAAAGTTATAAATTGATTTGCATTTTAATGAGTGAAATAAGTATTTGATCCTCTATCGAGCAAGATTTCTGGTTCCCAGGTGTCTTTTATACAGATAACGAGCTGAGATTAGGTTACCTGTATAAAAGGCACCTGTCCACATAAGCAGTCAATCAATCAGATTCCAAATTCGCCACCATGGCCAAGACCAAAGAGTTGTCCAAGGATGTCAGGGACAAGATTGTAGACCTACACAAGGCTGGAATGGGCTACAAGACTATCGCCAAGCAGCTTGGTGAGAAGGTGACAATAGTTGGTGCGATTATTTGCAAATGGAAGAAACACAAAATAACTGTCAATGTCCCTCGGTCTGGAACTCCATGCAAGATCTCACCTTGTGGAGTTTCAATGAACATGAGAATGGTGAGGAATCAGCCCAGAACTACACGGGAGGATCTTGTCAATGATCTCAAGGCAGCTGGGACCATAGTCACCAAGAATACAATTGGTAACACACTACATCGTGAAGGACTGAAATCCTGCAGCGCCCGCAAGGTCCCCCTGCTCAAGAAAGCACATGTACAGGCCCCTCTGAAGTTTGCCAATGAACATCTGAATGATTCAGAAGACAACTGAGTGAAAATGTTGTGGTCATATGAGACCAAAATCGATCTCTTTGGCATCAACTCAACTCGCCATGTTTGGAGGAGGAGGAATGCTGCCTGTGAGCCCAAGAACACCATCCCCACCGTCAAACATGGAGGTGGAAACATCATATTTGGGGGTGTTTTTCTGCTAAGGACAGAACAACTTCACCGCATCAAAGGGACGATGGGCGGGGCCATGTACCATCAAATCTTGGGCGAGAACCTCCTTCCCTCAGCCAGGGCATTGAAAATGGGTCATGGATGGGTATTCCAGCATGGCAATGACCCAAAACACACAACCAAAGCAACAAAGGAGTGGCTCAAGAAGAAGCACATTAAGGTCCTGGAGTGGCCCAGCCAGTCTCCAGACCTTAATCCCATAGAAAATCTGTGGAGGGAGCTGAAGGTTCCAGCTGCCAAGCGTCAGCCTCGAAACCTTAATGACTTGGAGAGGATCTGCAAAGAGGAGTGGGACAAAATCCCTCCTGAGATGTGTTCAAACCTGGTGGCCAACTTCAAGAAACGTCTGGCTTCTGTGATTGCCACCAAGTACTAAGTCACATTTTGCGAAGGGGTCAAATACTTATTTCACTCATTAAAATGTAAATCAATTTATAACTTTTTTGAAATGTGTTTTTGGGGATTTTTTTGTTGTTATTCAATCTCTTACTGTTACTCAATCTCTTACTACCATCAAAATTATAGATTGATCATTTCTTTGCCAGTGGGCAAACATACAAAATCAGCAGGGGATCAAATAACTTTTTCCCTCACTGTACAAGAGCAGGTGCAGCTCCATCTTGCAGTCATTCTGCATTGAAAGGGAAAGGTACCTTTGACCCATCACACCAGGGCTGCACATCTGTGGAAATGAAGTCCCGCTTGTATGTCAGATGTCTGTTCACCTTTTCACTGAGGGAAGCGGGAGAACAGGGTGGTTGCCAGTGTAGAAACAGCCTAGCTCATGTGTGCTCATGTTCCTTGGATTTTGAAATGGGGAAGAGAGCTAGGTAGCCTCTCTCCCAAATTGTTACAACATAATTGTTTGTGCTAATGGGATCTTTGCCCACTTCCAGGTCCCATAGAGTTCTACTCTTTGCAGATCCACTAAAGCCCCAGGCCCAACCAGCTTGCCCAGAATGTGTCAAATTGAGACAAATGAACCAAATTCTGTTTTCATTGACCTGTTTCTTCAAATTATGCTTTGTGCTTTTCCAGAATTATCTAAGTTGATACTAGCTGGGTCCTGACAGTTGGACTTTCAATTTGTGGCAAACCAGTTTCCCCATATGACATGAAGAAACTTTGGCTGTCTGGGAATAAAGCTCTCTGTTTTTCAGGAGCTATGCTGCTAAATTTGAAATTTTAAGGTGAAAGCATATCCTGTCACTCTGAGAAGGTCAGGCTCCTTCCACAACAAAGTTACTAGCCATTACGACTCGCATGATAAGCTTGATTAAAGTAAGAGGATTCTGGAGTCAGATTCTGAATTGCAATTCCTGCTCTCCTTTGAATGCAGACATTTTAGCATAGTGTTGGCAGCCGAGGGAGAGTCTTGTGGATCAGCAGCCAGGCCTGAGTTTATCTTTCAGCATTTGCACTGTGTTTGATGTCTTTTCTGCACAGATACCAGTTCTGAGGTTCAAGAGCAATCACGGGGCCTCCCTGGCGTGGAACTTCCTGCCACAGAATTGGTGACTTCACCGAATCAGAATTCACACAACCACCTTGTGCTTGATCTCGATCATGATACTGAAAGCACTGCTTTGTAAAAAGAATAAAATCACTCCAAAGCAGCCTTTTCTATCCCAATGAAAACCTAACCAGTCCAGGATTCACAGTGAGGAGCTTTAAAACAAAGAAGAAGACAAAGAAGGAATGGTACCACTACCTGCCTTGTGTCTTCTGAGAAGACACGTGATCTTTAAAAGAGTTTAATGATCTGTATCCTGACAAAGCTGCCTAAGCTAACATTGGATGTTCTGGCTGTTGCTAAACCTTGTATGAGAAGCTTGATTGCTGCTGTTAATCGAGACGGCTCTTGCCAGAAAGTTCCAAGAAGAATCCAAAGCAATGCATGTGTAATGGAAATCATAACCCTTTCAAGACCTCTGTTGAGCTCTTCTTCTTTGTCCGTATCAAACAGAGGTGTGCAAGAGACATGCTATCTCTGATATGCTGCAGACTTCGTTAAAAGTATGAACCAAAAAATTGCTACAGGTGCAGAAGATGACTGCTGGTTATCGGTCACTTTTCTAAACGGTGGATGTATTCTTGTGCCTTGATGGACTTGACACTGTAGAAGGAAATGTACTGTCTCTCTAACCATTTCAGTGCTATTCTTTTTTAAAATATGATTCTTTTCCCCTTTATTTTTCATAGATATTTGTATTAACCCTTCTGCTCTGGTTTCTGTAACTTCCATAGGCAGCTGCTGTCAAGCTGAACTCTGGAAAATATGTATTGCTATAAATGAGTTGAACTTTGAAAGTTATTTTGGATATCTTGTTGGGTTCATCTGCTGAGTAAAATTATTCTCATTTTGTCACTATAAAACTGATTTATTGTAATTTTCCTACCCAAAGAGCTGTATTTTTCCCCTAATTCACCACTGAATTAAATTGCTTGGGAAGTGAAGCAGTCACCCCAGAAAGAAGAAGGGGGTAGTTTGGCAAGAACCTGGAAGATGCTAGGATGTATAGACCACTGAGAAGCGTTTGCCCCTAATTTCGCCCCCTTTAACTACTGTTAGTCTCATGGGGTCAGGACCCAAAGAATGAGATGTTCAACAGCTGCAGTCCCTGATCCCTCAGCCCTGGTTTGAAAGAACACTAGCACACCACTCTCAAGTCGTCCTGTCAACTTTATTGCTTGCTTTGTTTTCCCTCTGCATGGGTGAAGAGATGGACATTAAAGTTCTCAGGCCAACTCTCTCCAGGCCTTTGCAAATTTACAACTCGATCCAGGCCTTTGGACACATTGGTAGGTAGCTTGTCCATAGGATTTCATGTAGACATATGAGTAGGAGTAGGCCATACTGTTTCTGGGGAGGGGAAAGGGAAGTGGAAGAAAAAAGAAACATCATTTTTCCAACCCTTTTACCAGCAGTAACCAGAAGAGCATCTGTATTTTCTTCAGTGCACCCACACTGTGTGTACGATGTGCAGTCTCTCCCCAGGGACTAATCAGAGTGTGCATACATGTTGCCTTTGTGTCTTGGGTTGGCTAAAGTGGAGTGGTTGGGTGTGTGTGTGTGCGCGCGTGCGTGCATGCGTATGTGCGCACTCTGTAGGAGTGTGCCGAGTATGACCAGGAGGGCAGGAGGCTGAAAGTGGAGCCTCTCAAACCTTCCCAGCCCCTGCCCAAGCCTCCCCCCCCCCATTCAGATGCAAGTTCACACAAATTTTGTTTTCCCATAATCCCCAGGAACCTGCCTTTTACAGTCATAAATCACGATGGTTGTAAAGTGAATCATCATGTGACTGACCTGATTTTATGACCTTTTTGTGGCAGTTATTACATAAACTCATTGTTTCCTATGGAGCATTTTTGCCAAAAACCAGAAGTAAAGCCCTGTTCATCAAAAAGATAAATTGTAGTCGTGTAACTGAAGGACATTGCAGATGGCTATAAATGCAAGTTGGTTGCCGGGTGCCCAAAATTCAGCCATGTGACTGTGGGGGAGGGGGGCTGGCTGTCGGAACTTTGGAACCGGGTCATAAGGATCTTTTGGGAGGTCGCTCAGCGACTAGTCCTAAGGAGGGCTACCAATATGACGCACAAAGCTTTTTTCAACACAGTTGGGCTAAAGGTTTGGTTCTCGGCATTCTTAATTACAGGTCGTCCTCAAGATATGACTGATGGAGCCTGTCTGTTATGGTTGCATGTGACGACAGCTGTTAAGCTGCAATGGTGGAGATCTGGAAGTGGCTGCCATTTTGTTCCATCCACAAAATGGCAGCCAGGGACAGACTGCTTCATTTCGCTGCCTTTACAAGGTCTGCACAACGATCATTCAGAGGCCTCTGCATCACAGTGGAGACGTTAAGGCAGCAACGGAATCAGTTTTTCTGGCAGCTGCCATTTTGTTCCCACCCACAAGCAGACAGCACAAGATGGCTGCCATGTTTGAATCGCTTCTGCATGGCCCAGGGACGATGTGGGCTGCCCTCCTTCCACAGTATGAGGGCCGGAGAGCTTCAAAAGGTGAGTATGGGGAGCAGACCCAAGCACTGTGGGGTACCGGCGGGATGGGATGGCAGAAAGGCCCTGCAGCATCCCTGTAGTTGGTCGTGAGGGAACAATTCTGGAAGTGGTCGCCATTTTGTCCTGCCCTCCTTCCCCAACACAAGGAAGGAAAGTGTGGGGCGTGATTGGCATGTGTGGAGCAGGCCCAAGCAGAGTGGGAGGGGGGGGAGGGGGGATGCTGCAGCGACCCTGCAATGGGTCATAAGGGTGAATGGCCACAGGGCCACTGCAGCCATTGTAGTTTGAAATGGTCATATGTAATTTGAGGGCTTCTCTTGTAATTTTGTTCCTTAAGCAACCTGTGGTACCTTGAGGACTACCCATGTGCTCTTGCTAACAGTTTCAATAAGTTCCTTTCTTATGCCACGGTCTTTGCATGAAGCATTTTCCTTGGAGGCTCCTTTTTCTCCACCCGCCTCCTTTTAGCCGAAAGGCATTGGGGTGTTAAAAATTAGATAGGGTGGGGATGGAAGGATAATTTGAATATATTTCCAAGATCATCTAATTGCACTTAAAGCAGAGGTCTGCAAAATAGGCAATTTTAAGGCTTGTGGGCGTCATCTCCCAGAATTCCTCAGCCAGGATGGGTTTTCTTAATGGCTGGCTAAGGAATTCTGGGAGTTGAAGTCCACGAGCCTTAAAGTTGCCTACTTTGGAGAACCTTGCACTAAAGCTGCAAAGGGTCTGTCTACGGTCTGTTTACAACCATCTTCAGTTCCAAGTAAAACCTACAACTTTTTAGCAAAATGGCGACTTATTTGGTCCCTGGTGAGCCCTGTGGAAGGTTTCCATTGACCAGGGGCTGCCTTGCAAAAAAAAGTACCTGAATCCATTTGTGGCTGTGAAGGATTGTTGTACATCTTCAGAAATTCTGTCGGGCTCAAACATTCTTGGCTCCTGCACAAATACTGGATTGTTTCTGCTGGGATCAGCAGCTCTGGCACAGCAGTGTGGAGACACTCGCCCAGGCTTTTGTTGCCCACCTTGAGAGGAGGAAGCAAGCACAGCGGATTTAATCCCATGGCATTTATTCTGGAATTAGTGTATACATTGACTTCATCAGGCTTTTCTGCTTAACCAATGCTGCTCGAACAACTGACTTTTCAAAGCTTGGCCTAAAATAAACTTCCAGATTGAAAAATGGGACTGGGAGCAGAAAGGAAGCTCCCAATATGGATTGTGCAGAATTGACTTAAACTGAGGTAGCATCAATATATTTTCTGGGAATCTATTTTTTAAAATAATCTTGCCAGTAAAACACCAGAGAACTCAGATTCTGTATCTCCATGGCCAGGATACTGGCTCTTTCAAGAAGAGCAATTATTGTTTTTTATTAAAGTTATGTTCATATAAATCACATTAATGCATCAGAACCTCAAAGAACTATTGCAAGTAAGAAACTAGAAAACAGTCTCCATCATGCCCTTGGNGGCCCTGGGGAAATCAACCTGATGCCAGAGAGAGAACTGCTGAAGGGATCTACTCTCACCTTGAGTGTTGCAAGATACACTCCCAGCTTGAGAATGAGTGTAAGACACTCAGTAATAACTTCTTCTGTGGTCTGGCTCTGGGTAACATCTTCCAAAGTTACAGGCACTTCCACTTTGGTGGCATTCCACTGTGAGAAAAGTCTGGTGGGGATGTTATGAGACATTACCAATATCTTAATATCTCGCAATAAAGCCCTAAAAGGGAGAGAGAAACCGTATTAAACCCATAGGTCTTTGCACACACATTATGCACACTCTTGCATCCATGTTCTATCAAAATCAAAATATTTAAGGCTTGTAGCTACCTACCAATGGCGGGGGTCACATCAGGGACACTGGCTACATTGCCCATGGATGTGAGAGGTTGCCTCCCTTCCTTCCAAGTATTTATATAGTGCTTCCTGTTCTAAAACTCCTGAGGTGGTTTACAATAATTATGAAAACATAAGGTTAAAAACAGGATAAAAACTAAGTGGAAACAATCCACAAGAAACCTGTCAGCAGTTGGGGAAAGGCAGTATATTTAAAATAGAACTTTTTCAGAGAGGCTAAGAACCAGTTCCTCTGGGGCAGGATCCTTCTCAGTGATGACCCAAACCCGTCTCTTCCAGATTTGATACAGGATGTTTTTATTCCAACTGGATGTTGATGGCTTCAGTAAGTTGTCATGTTAGCCATCCAGATCAAGGGAGAAATCTAGATATTTCTCTGAAGTCTGCTTATAAATCCTTGCCCTCTGACTCAGACCAAGCCTGCTCCTGATCCAACCACAGGTCTTCTGGAGCCTATAACCTTGCTCTCTTGGCTGAACATCTTAGGTGTGCTTTTATCTGTCTCTGAAAATAGGGATGAAGACTCTGATGACCTCCAGAAGTTGCTAAATGCCAATGCCCATCCAAGACACTCAAAGAGACACTCAAGTTGCCCAGGAATTGTAAATTGGTGACCTTTGACTGGCCATACATTCCCCATCCCTTAGATAAGGTGACATTTTTCTCCATCATGGGATTTTTGCTGCTCTCTGGTTGTTTTCTTGCAGACATTTCATTACCAAACTAAGTAACATCTTCAGTACTGGGGGGGGGGGGTCTTCCCTATCTTATTTGCACACCCAAATACGGGGAGGGATGGAAAGCTTTTCTTTCCATTGGTGCTGCTGGGCCTTCTGCTTCTGCCACTTCTTCCCTTAGTTTTTTGGCTTTGTTTTTAGCTGTTTTAAAGCCATCAACCATCTGTGAGTACTGGTGAAGAGGTTATACAATGCTCTGTTTATCAGTTTGTACCTTGTATTTTAACTATAAATGCATTTTTAAATATTACTTTTCACCTTGGGATTTTTTAACAATAAAAGCACAGATAAAATATATAAATACGTGGTCATTAGGCCAATCTATGAGTCAAGAGCATCATCCATTCCTCAGACGATCCCTTTCCCACCCAACTGTGCAGGTAGACTTGGAATCTCTTGGAGGTCCCTCTGCCTCATGGCTGAGATGCCTCCCTACCGCTCTTCTCCCTGGAGGACTTGCTTGACTTACACTGCTCCCTGATGTTCAAAGAGGGCCAGGTCCATGAGGATGTGGTAGAGGGTGCCGCTGGAGGCCTGAGGGGAATGAAAGAGCATCAGGATCTGTGGTTCTGAAGGTGTTCCCACTCAACTCTTATTCTGTATTGGAAGTGGTATTTTCAAAAGCTTCTGGTGGGGAGTTTGCTTAATTCTGCAAGTGGCCAAACTACATGTGCTTGTAATATTAGCACTATGTATGCTTACGGATTGGTGCTTAAGTTGGATGTAGGTTTTGTCGGCATTGTTATAAATCCCAACACAATTCAACTAAAGGATTTTTCATCTTCTCTTAAATATTTGCTTGACCTACCTCCAGAATGTGGAGTATGCTCTGGGAGTAGATGAGAAGGACTCCTGAGGCTGCTTCCCCCAAATGGAATCGTGAAATCTTCTGGAAAAGCTGTTCATGATAATCTTCAAAAAGGAAACAGGAAAGATCAGCAGAGAGATCAGCTCAGAATCCCCTCAAAAAACAGATGGGGTGGGAGGAAGGGCAGGCGTCCAATGCCTGCTGGATGGGGCTTGTTCCCAGTTTTCTCACTGGTGTCAGCAGGACCTGCTTCATCTGCCTATCGGCTGTGGAGGATACAGTGTTATGCCTGATGATTCAGAGATAAACAACCATACTAATGGATTAACCTGTCTCAAAAAACAATTTCACAATTGGGCATGTGAGGCAAAAGGCCAGTGATGAATTGGCTTAGCTTTCTAGGGGCTGCTGAACTAAAATGACAATGCTGGCTGTGGCTTCTGGGCATTGTGATTAGGCAATAACGGGAGGGCCTCTGCATTTGAACAAATAAACTTGGCAAACATTAGATATTGGTTTAAATGTGTTTTGTTGAGCCCTGTGATAAATCTGCACTAGAAGCCACCTGTAGTGAATAGAGAGGATGATCTTGAAGGACAGAGGGAAGATCCACCAGCAAGGCAAAATGAGATAAATGAGGCTTGAGCCCCAGCCAAAATGGGGATTACAAAAATGCATCAGGCAGTCACCCCCTCCAAGTCTCATGAAGATAAAGAAGGGAAATGCATTCAGACTTGCAAGACTCTGTTACTACAGTTGTTCTGATAAAAGTAGGTTTAGGTCTACATGGTATCTGTTTCTTAGTTTGGTCTACCTGAGAGGGCTGGATTCAAAATTAAGGTTATTACCAGCATTGTCTTCACAGTGAGAAACACTGATCTTCAATGGAGATGGGAGAGTGAGAATGAGATAAGCGGACCTCCCCTCAGCCAAACAGGCAAGGCTCATCTGGGGAAATCTGACCAGCCAGGAAACTTCAGAGTGCTATGGGAGAGGATCATCCCAGGGCAAGCACAGATTTCAGTAAGATCTTGGAACCTTTCCCTCATTGAGAGCATCCAGGGACTTCATGGCCTTTAACAAGGGAAGCTCAGTCTTTCGAAGGTCGTGGTGAGACTAACTGCAATACCTGTGATTTCACCCTCACTGGCATTTTCTTGCAGCATCGCAACAAAGATCAGCCGGTGAAGCAGATATTTCTGTGGGAAAAAATGCACCAGAAGATTTAGGTAACACTTTAGGGCTTAGTTTTCCCTACTATTTGAAGCTCTGTCAACAGTGCAATTTTGCAGAAATAATCCATCACTTATTTTTACAAATATTTTGGTATGTCTCCTTAATATCCATCAAAATACAGAGTACAGAAAAACCATACCAAAACTCTAGAAAGAAAGCTGGATGCTCAAAAGGGAAAACAACCAGCTTAGAAGGCAGAGTCTGGAGATTCAACCCTCTGTCCTCAGCACACTGAACCACCAAGCAGTTGGATTTTAGCCTAACATTACAGCAATTTGTAGTGAGTTTACAATTCCGTGTGTCATGCAAATCCAAGCAAATGGCAGAGCGGTCTGAATAGGAGAGGGTCAAAAAGTCAAAATGGTGCTTGCTATCACATGGATGAAGGCCCAAAAGGTGATAGCCATCATCACGGGTATTTTTAATGTCCTGCAGATGTTCCTGCACACTGGATTAGGTGACTGTGCCCTGATTAACCTCAGCCAAATGCTGAATCCAGACATAATGCTAGGCCGTAAACCATGCTCTGTACATATGGTTTTACATGCTCTAATGCAGGGGTCTCTAAACTTGACAACTTTAAGACTTGTGGACCTCAGCTCCCAGAATTTCCCAGCATCTGGGAAGAGAGGCACCCCCCCCACCCCAGACCTCTGGCCTCCCCACACCTTCATCTGCTGCCGCCGCCTCTCCTCCAGGGCACTAAGGAGGGTATTCCTGGTCACTGAGGGCATCACCGTGTCAGCCATCCTGCTGTGGCAAACTATTCTGGAACCTTCAAGGAACCAATCTGCCAGCCTGGCATGGCAGTTGCCCTATAAGCACCTCTTTCGAATTGGCAGTTGGAAGCCTCTGGCTCATCTGAGCGGCCTGGAACTCTGAGCAGGTAGAAGGTGGGAGGCCTGAGAGACCATTGCCCAGCACTCCGGGGGACCTTCTGCTGCAGAGAGCCTTGGCCTGTGGGCTCCTGAGGAGAGAAGCTGCCCCAAAGAAGCCTTGCCCAAGGCTGAGCAACTGTTCTGGTCAGAAAGGGATTCCAGAGGCCCCAAAACTTGTAGCTGGCTGACCGGCCGTACGCAGCGTGTGATCCTCAATGGAACTGCATCTACATGGAGGGAAGTGTGTAGTGGGGTGCCCAAGGGCTCTGTTCTGGGCCCAGTGCTCCTCAACATCTTCATTAATGATTTGGATGAGGGGATAGATGGGGAACTCATCAAATTTGCAGATGACACAAAACTGGCAGGAATAGCCAAAACTCCAGAAGATAGGCTTAAGATACAGAAGGCTCTACAGGATTTATACAGGAGTTATACAGATTTATACAGGATCTCGGGGAAGTTAACAAGGTTATCCTCACCCAAAACCCAAAACCCAAACCCAAATACCTTCCTTACAATATTGTCCTTTTAAGAAAGTACTATATGGTGTTTGATCTGAAGGATTCCTTCTTTTGCATCCTGGTAGCTGAAAGCTTTCAGAAGTGTTTTGCCTTTGAATTGGAAGAGCTGATAAGGACCACGATGCAAGTTGTTTCAACTGAATAGAATAGAATAGAATAGAATAGAATAGAATAGAATAGAATAGAATAGAATAGAATAGAATAGAATAGAATAGTTGGAAGGGACCTTGGAGGTCTTCTAGTCCAGCCCCCTGCTCAAGCAGGAGAACCTATACCATCTCAGACAAGTGACTGTCCAGCCTCTTCTTAAAAACCTCCAGTGATGGAGTGCCCACAATTTTGGGGGGCAAGCTGTTCCACTGGTTAATTGTCCTCGCTGTCAGGAAGTTTTTCCTTAATTCCAGATTGCTTCTCTCTTTGATCAGTTTCCAACCATTGTTTCTTGTCCTGCCCTCTGGGGTTTTGGTGAATAACGTGACCCCCCTCTTCTTTGTGGCAGCCCCTCAAATACTGGAACACTGCTATCATGTCTCCCCTATTTCTTCTTTTCTTTAGATTAGCCAAACCCAAGTCCCGCAGTCGTTCTTCGTATGTTTTAGTCTCCAAGCTTTGGGTCATCTTAGTTGCTCTTCTCTGAATTTTTTCCAATACCTGAGTTTCATGTTTCACAGGATCAAAGGCAATGGAGAGAACAGAGACAATCGGCCATATGGCTGAACCCAGGACCCGCAAGGGATTTAGGAGAATGTCTGGGTTCTACTGCATTTGGATCCCAAATTATGGCCTTATCGTGAAACCACTTTCTGAAGCAACAAAGGAGGGAGACTATGAGGAGTTTACCCTGGAGTAAAGAATGCCATCAAGCCTTTATCAGAATTGAGGAATTAATGTCAACCGCTCCTGCATTGAGACTCCCTGGACTTACCTAGCCCTTCTGTTTGTTTGTGCATGAGTAGCTGGGATTTGCAGTTGGAATTCTGACCCCAAAACCTGGGTCTTGGGAATGGCTGGTAGCTTACTTCTCTAAACAAATAGGATGGCTGTCTGCCTACGGGCTGCACTTGCTACTAATTTCCTTGTAAAAGATCTGAAAAATTGACTTTGGGACGAACAATGCAGGTCCAAGGTCCACATGCAGTGTTGGAGCTTTTGAAACATAAAGGAGCCCACTGATTGACTGGAAATAGGTTGGCAAAACACCAAGCTCCCCCTTTGGAGAATCCAAATGTGAGTCTGATAGTGAGTGCAAAGTTAAACTCTGCCACTCTTTAACCCCAAGTGGAACAGGAAGTAACACATAGCTGCATGCAGATAATTGATCAAGTTTACTCCAGCAGACCTGACCTGAAAGATTATCAAGCCATTGATAATCCCAACAAGGAGTTTCATACAATGGGAGCAGTTTCATGGGAAAAGGGGAAGGAAGAGTTGGATATGCAGTAGTCACTTTGTGGGACATTAAAGAGCTCCATCCTTTTCCCCTTAACACTTTCACTCAGAAGGACAAGCTGATTGCCCTCATGAGAGCCTTACATTTGGGTCAGGGTGAGAAAATCAGCATATATACAAACAGCAAGTAGGCTTTTAGAGTTTTGCATGCATATGGAGCTGTGAAAGGAAAGAGGACTCCTAACTGTGAAGAGTGCAACGATCAAACATGAGAAGAAATCTTAGCCTTGGTAAAAGAAGTTGAGGTGCTTCCTCTGAGGTAGCTGTAATGCATGTTAGGGCCCATTCCAGGGAGGACACACAAATAGCCAAAGGAAACAGGAGGCCAGATGGGACAGCTAAGGCTGTTGCACGCCAACTTTTGGAGAGAAATGGCTGTCTTTAATGCTCTCCTTTGAACTTCCTGATAGACCAGTTTACACCCAGCTGAAGAGGTTTGAGCTGCATTGACATCTGGTGGCTGATATGGTTTACTTCATGGAAAGCTCATTCTCTCAAGAACTATAGCTAGACATGTGATTAAATACCTCCCTCCATGATACGACTCACAGGGAAGAGAAAGTCCAGGGTGTTTACATGGTGCGGTTGTTTGTATGCCTGCATGGGTAGCATGAGAATGTGTGAGGTGCCAGCAGACCTACCCCAAATGGGGCAAATAAACTCTGCATGGAATTCAGATCTAGGGAGCAGCCCCAGGACATTTTTGAGGAGTTGATCACACTGAGCTACTGAGAAAGATGGGACACTGTTTACTGATACCTTTTCTGGCTGGGTTGAGGCCTTCCCCACTCAGGACTAATAAAGCTAGGGAAATAGTATAGGCCTTATGAAGGGAAATTATCCATAGGCTGGCCTGCCTTGAGGCGGGAGGGTAATCCACTCTGACCATGATCCGATTTTCATCACCAAAATTATTCAGGATGTGGCCTCCACTTTGCACATCACTTGGAAGTTTCATTCTTCTTATCAATGCCAAGTCAGCACATTTCAAATTTTATATGGTTGGCCTTATTTTGGAATCCAGATCCCTTCCAGTTCTTGAATTCCTAAAAAGGGTGAGGGGATTGTCAAAAACTATGTATTGCAGTTGTCTGCTGCTCTGTCCTCTGGCTATTATAACTCAACCAACATAGTGGATTGGACCAGCCTGTTCATCCTCCTCAAACTGAGGCCTGGGTTTTGGTGAAGTCCAAAGGATGATCCCTCGCAACCTATGTGGAAAGGGCCCTGCCAAATGTTGTTATCAGCCTAGATATTGGGAATCAAGACTTGGATCCACCATACCCGAGTCAAACAAGCTGCACCATCTGCTGTACCAGAGAGTAAAAAGTCTTCCTGCTGACCAGTGGACAGCGCAAACATCAGACCCACTAAGTGACTTAAAATTGTTTTTTGCAGGAAAATTGCAGTTTAATCTCCTGATGGGCAGCAGACTGGTTGGGGAAATGTTGGCTTTTTCTGCCAACTGCATGGTGCAGGACTCTCAGCATCACCTCCCTCTGAAAAACAAATTGGCAAGGAATCCAAGTTGTGAATTCTTCTCCATTTTGGATTTCTTTTTGTAAAATAAATGATATGATATAATATGTCGTATGTTGTTCATCTGAGGTTATATTTACCTCAGATTTTTACTGTGTCCTGATACGTAAAACAGTAGGTGTCAAAGAGGGTGTACTTACTTTTTCATGTAACTGTAGATCAGAACCACATTGGTTTGAAGGAGGAATAGGGCAATTACAGTTAACTGATGCAGTATCTCCCAATAGCCAGCGTTAATCTATATTGCATGCAGTCACCAAGTTCTAAATCCTTAGTCGGGTGAGAACAAAAACATGCAGAGAGACAGAGAAACTGGAAGCATACTGTATTTTCAAATAAAAAATATCAGAGTTCAAGGCACTAGTGGTTGAGAGCTTTGCTGTCTTACGCAGTGTGAGGTAACATTTATGAATCTCATCTAAAAGCTCAGTTGAAGGGGTCTCATCCGGGTAACCCTCAGATAATGACCTACAATGCTCAGAATAACTGTGCCATTTGGGAGCTGGATCCAAGCCCTTGAAAGTGCCAGATATAAGCACAGCTAATGTGGAAGGAAAAAATCAAGTTAGTGACAAAAGTCAGTGAAAACTAATAAGAGCCAACTTTTATAGTCAGTGAAAGTTGAAAACATGGTCATAATCAGGCTGGATTTATTATTCATGTAAAATATGTGGTGAATCAGACATGGTACTTATGAACAGCGTAAACAGTGACTGCACACATCTGCAGCACAAGTTATACTGATGAACAATAAATCATGAAGCTAATTTGAAATTTCAAACAGAGACAAAAGTAATAGTATATATGGTCTTCATTTCCTTGTAAGTATAGTTCAACACAACCAAAACCATTTTTTCCCCTGTGATTCAAATATTTCTATTTTGAAATAAACTTAGTTTTATACTAAAGCAGGTTTTTTTTAATGCTGTTATGCTTTTTATCTGGTTTGGGATGATATATGCGGGGAGATTTCCCAACTAGTTTAGAGAGAACTGTGGATTTGTTTCCAAATGTTTAAGGTACACTTTTGCTTTCAATACTGCATAGTTTTAAAAAAAAATTAAAACTACATCAATTGAATTCTAAAATACAGGCCCTAGAAATGTCAAAGCCAATACACGTATGGAACAAGTTATGTGTATGTGATTTAAATTAAAAAATATCAACTGTTTGATGAAATTAATGGTGTCAGTGAAAGAGTTTTCCAAAAGGGATAATAATGTTTGTAATATTGAATAGTTCCCAATTCACGCTTTTAATTTACACACCAAATAAAGAATAAAAAGTAGTAGGCATACTATATGTGGTTTATAAAAAAAAATTCCCACTAAAAACAAAACAAACGTGGTGATAACAGTTTGCCTTTTATAAATCACAAAGTTCCCTCAATATATGGCTCTCATAAACCCTAGCTAACTCATAGCAGCTTTATTTTCTTTAACAAAAACATAAATATTTGGTTCTATCTCAGTTGGATGAGGCAACTAGCTTTGTTGTTTGCTTCAAGAGTATCCTGGAAACAAAAATCTGGAGTCATCAAATAGAAAGGTAGGAGAGACATACACCTCTGTATAAACAGCTCATTCACCCTGATTAATTTGTTTCTGAAAATCCTGCAAAGTAGAGAAATGTTCAAAATACTTCAAGAAATGCACATGGCATGAACAGAAATTATTAGAAATGGAGGACAGAATGAATAAGGAGGAAAGAAGAGTAGATGAAATGAATGAAAAACTCTTGCAAGCAAAGAATTAGGAAAAAAACGTCATCCTGCTTGAAACTGAGAAAGCAGACGTTATTTACGTTTTCAAAACGTGAAAGAAGAGAAGGGGGAGGACCTTCCAGAAATGATGACAGACTTGTTAGCAAGGGCCCTAGGGACAGGGAAAGAAGAGATGGCAAATGAGATTGATGAAACATACAGAATCCACACAAACTGCTGTGTATGAGTCATCATCTAGGAATTATTTTTTTGTGCCATCTTATGCCTAGTACCAAGACCTGATCTTTTTGTTCTGGAAAGATATAAAAGGTGGAAGACATCTTTTCTGGTTGTTGCCTTCATCTCTCTACCAGCCACGAAGAGATATGGGGTCACCCAACTCTATTTTGATCAAAATAAAAGTTGTTTGCTTGCTGAAACCTCGGCTCAGGAGTTTCTTTGGCTCTTTTAAATTCCTGAGTAATGCTGGGGCAATTGTGAGGCTAAATGGAAAACCTTACACAAAGATGAGAATGAATCTAATGTCTACAAGTGTACATTCTGCAATTTTCACTCAGGAAAGCAATCAGATCTCCCTTTTCCTAGTTTCTTCACAACCACAATCCTGTGAGGTGGGCTGCACTGAGAGAGTGACTGGCTCAAAGTCACGCAACCAGGTTTTTTTACCTAAGGTGTGGTTAGAAATCAGACTCTCTAGCTACTTTACCCAAAGAGACCGAGCTGCATTTGATGCCTAAGGCTGGACTAGAATTCAGAGTCTTCACTTGCTTCATCCAAAAACATCAAGCTGGCTTTCAAGCCTAAGGCAGGACTAGAACTCAGAGTTTCTCGCTGATGGGCTCAAACACCCAGCTGGCTTTCATATCTAAGGCTGGACTCAAACTCAGAGTCTCCACCTGCTTCAGCCAAAGACACCCAACCGGCTTTCATGCCTAAGGTGTGACTTGAACTCAGCTTGCTTGAAGTCAAACATGTGTTTATTTCATTGACTGATTGATTGTTATGCTATCTTTTTTCATATACAACTCAAACAGTGAACATAGCTAATAATCCTTCCTCCTCTTCCCCACAACAACCCTGTGAGGTGGGCTGGGCTGAGACAGAGGGAATGGTTTCCACTCCCACCCCACCCTTGATGCTGAACGCTTTCTGGCTTTTAGACCAGCACTTTAACCAATGGTCCAAATATGCTGGAGCACTTGGAATGGCCTTGCTGACCAGTCCTTCCCTGCCTCAGTCCTGGGGCCAGAGGAGAAGCTGTGTCCTTCTGTTCTGACTGCAGGAACAGATCAGGAAACACACCTTGCAATAAATCCAACCGTCAAGATCCCTTTCTAGCCTCCACTGAAATACAGGGAGTCCTCGACTTATAGCCATTCATTTAATATCTTAAGATCTCTGGCAAAAAAGGTTGTAAAATGGAGAAGACTCATTTAACAACTGCCTTGCTTAGCAATGGAAATATTGGGCTCTATTGTGGTCGTAAGTCGAGGACTGCTTCAGGGCTTTTCCCTCCCTGCCGATCCCTCTTCCCCCTTGCAAGCTCTTTTCTTTCAGTTTCACCTCTGAACGAAAGGAACGGGAGGCTTTCTTTGCTGCTGCAGAATCACAAGCCGGCCCAGAAGGTCTTGGGAGGAAGGCGGCTCCGTTTCACGGGGAGAAAGCAGAGCCTGGCCTCGTCCCTTGGAGAGGGGGTGGCCAGGGCCTCGTGCTCCTCTCCAGCCTCTTTGGTCAGCCGGGGAGGGAGCAAGGCAAGCTTTCCATCCTGGGCCTGGGCCGCAGTGGGGCCTGAGGGCTTGGGAGTGCCGTGGTCTGCTTTAGGATACTCTGCCAGGCCAGACCCCTTCTGGTGCTCTGCCCCAGATATCTTATGGGTGCAATTGGTTTCCCGTGGGCCCGACAATTGAGAGCCTGGTTTGCCAGAGGTCTTGGTCCCTTGGCAGAATTGCTTCTGAATAGTACATTCGTTTGGGTGGCTCCTTTGCTTGGTTGTAAGTTTGCTTGTTCAGAATAAATAAATCTGGTAGGATAAATCTAGGGCTCTATGTGTCCGTGTATGTGAGTCTTTTGCCAAGTGTCAGGCAGTGGCTGGGTGCCAGATAAACAGTTGTTTGAGAACCCAAAGACAACGAACACACCAGGGAGGAAGGAGATTTCAAGCTGTGTAATCCTTAGCAAGTAAATGAAATACAAGGCAACATAAAGTATCAAGAATTCAAATTAAATCAATATTTAATTATTACAGTTGTTGAAAAAAAAATGAAAGAACCCCATCATCTTTCCACATAGGAAAACTGAAAAATGCAATGTCTTCATTTCTGTATTTGCAGGATAAAGATCCAAGAGATGAGACTCTCTGTAGCACGGGGGTGGAATGTGGAGTCCTCGGTGTGCTCTGACCTTGGTGTTTCATTACCTGACATCGTTGATCATTAATGCCACCAGTGCCAACGTGTGGGGCTTTGCTCCTTATTTAACATGCAATACAGGTAGTTCTCGACTTACAGCCATTCATTTCGTGACCGAGTTTGCAACAGCACAGGAAAGTGAGTAACAACTGGTCCTCTCACTCACCTTTGCAGCCTCCCCATGGTCATCTGATCAAAATTTGGCTGCTTGGCAATTGCCATCTATTTATGACGGTTGCAGTGTCCCCAGGTCATGTGATCGCCATCTGTGACTTTCCCTGTCCCCTTCCGACAAGCAGGGGTGTCAGTGGTGGAAGCCACATTTGCTTAACAATCATGTTAACTTTACAGCTGCGAGTGATTCACTTAACAACTATGGAAAAAAATTGGATGTGACTACCTAACAATTGCCTTGCTTAATGGAATTTCTGGTTTCAATTATGCTCATAGGTAGAGGACTACCTGTAATTTGCCATGCCAGTGGGGGGAGGGGAGGGGGGTATGGCTTTCCTGTTGGTACCTTAGTACCTTGGTTAGGGTATTCTTTTCTGCTTGATTGTTTGGCATTAATCCCTGTTTAACTGGGCGTAACTTGCTGGAGAGGATGTGTTCTGGTGTTTTTCTTTCCTTCTTAGCCTTTTTTTTATTGTCTCTTGGTTAGTATGTAACTGTGGTTTATCTGTATGTGTTATTCATGGCTAGTTGTCTGACTGCCAAGCTTTCAGAAATTCCCTAACATTTTTGGGTTTGGCTTGATTTAGGATAGTCACAGATTCCCAGTTGAAACTATGGTTGAGTCTGTCCATGTGTTGTCTCTTCTGATTGCTAGTGGGTGTTCATGGATGACCTCAGCCTGTCTCTCCTACGTAATGTTTTAGATGACTTCTGGTTTTTCTTCTTTATGCTATTTAGTCGGTTTATGTTTTATGGTGATGAACCATGGACAGCCTCAAGGAGCAACTGGAACAAACTATGGCCCCAGTAAACACAAAAATGCTGACAACCACCTTCAAGGATACATTTCTAAGGCGAAAAAGGGGAACAAAATTCCAAACCAAATTACTCAAGCTAAACTCCTGAAACAAAGAGACAAATGAACTCAAATGGGCAGTCAACATGTCTAACTCAACCACTAGGCTATAATATGCTCAGAAAGTCCTCAACTATAACATAAATACCACTAATCAAACAGAATTTTTGACAGCTTTAGAAGCAGGATTGAAAATCACAGGATCTCTTGACATGGAGACCCAAGCAAACAGTCAATCCTACCACAGACCAAAAGAAGATAGAAACAGAACCCACTCAATACTCTTAATAGTATTTATTTTCAGTAGAAAATGAATTATTTTGTAACTGTACAATGAAAAGCAAAACCAAAATATAGTACAGTAAATAAACAATAACAAAATAGGGAATGCCCAAAATAAATACAGTAGTATTTGTCAATAGAATATAAAAACCAATATTCTACAATGCAATATATATCATTATAAAAATATACCATTTAAAGAAAATCTATTTAAAATGTACAATGCTATACAATATTGTTTAATAGCTTTTTTTCTCATTTGGAGTATTTGGGGTGAAATAGGCAGGTGAGATGAGTTGAACCGCGGGGCTCTGGGGCTGTGAGTCAGAGAGAGAGAGAGAGAGAGAGAGAGAGAGAGAGAGAGAGAGAGAAAAGCCAAAGCCCGAGATATACTGTATATATCTCGGGCACCGGCAGAAAAGGCTTTCCTAGTTTGTTCTGTGATGCTTCCTCCCTGGGAGCAATTCCCTGCTGTCCAGCCTCTTAACTGCCTCCTCCCCTTCAGCGGGGGAGTCTACCATATAAGGAGTAACTAATACAATAGGGACCTCAAGCATTTGCTGTTGCATTGATTGTATAGACTCTTTCTTTATATCTGCGCTATGCACAGATGTTACCGCATCAGCCCTGGGCTCGGGCTCCTCTTTCTGTTGTTGGTCGATTGTCACAGAAGAACCAATATTTGTACAAATGTCAATTGTTGTCAGTGCTTCAACTATTGGGGGTAAAACATGATTTTCTTGACTGTTTTGAAAAGCACGTTTGTTACAGACGATCATAACCCCACTCACCAATAATAAAACTACAGCAGTATAACCAATATAAATAGCAGCTCCAATCTCCTGGTGCTCTGGAGAAGTAGGCATTTTGAAAGTGTCAGGAAACATAATGTCTGTGTTAATCAAGATGGAATAAACGTTCCAGGAAATGGGAATTAAGATTATGATTCCTGTTAGGAAGTTCATGAGGCCTCCAACATTAAAAAGAGTGAGCAAAAAAGTTTTGTGTGTTATGGCTCTGACAACATTCCACAAGGCAAAACTCATGAAAGTTATCCCCACGGCTCCCACAATGCAACACAAGCTCAACAAATCTTGAGCTAAAAAAATTTCGCTGGGCAGCATCTTCAGGTCTTCAGTGAATTCCTCACAGTGGACATATCTGTTCTCTGGATGAGTGCTGTGCAAATAACAGGCTCTCCAGATTCCGATCCATAACACGCCAGGAAACAAGTCGTCCTTACTTTTAATATGCCATATTCTCCAGTAATCAGTGGCTGTGGAGGTAATACACAGGATCCATCCTAAGATGCTAAGCAAATAACCACTAAACTGGGCCCTATTAATCCAGACTGACCATTTTGTAATCATGGATTCGGTTTCACTTGGTAGTCGCCCATTAAGAGATTTATTGTACATGAACTTCGAATTGCTGAAATAAAATCAAAACAAAATAGCTCAACATACAGTATATTTATACTATTATTCTGCCACTCGTACATAAATACATGAATAATTCAGCGGTGTAAAAGGCATTCACCACTGATTCCATTGGGAGCAAATTTCTCCAACAGATTTCTGAGCAGTATAAATTTATTTATTAACCAAATT